ATAATGGTAGGATTAGAGAAAATGTATTGCTTACAGGTGCTCGTAAGTTATGATCTTGACTTGAAGTTCTTCCAAGGCCTTGAGCACAGTAATATTTGCTTCAGAGAAAAGCAGCTCCATACTCCTGTTCTTGAAATCTTGAATGTTTTGTTCAATATGTGATATCTAGGATGACATTTCATAACATAAAAAAAAAACTGTAAGGACTATGCCAAAAATAAAATTTTAAAAAAATGCTGGTATTAGATAAATTGCCAACAAAGTGAAAAAATCACAAGATTTATGATAACCTGGTCATCAGAACTGGGACAAGGTCAATATATAGATTGCATCCATTCAGAAAACTTACCTCATATTGTGCTAACGCCTCTAAGGAAGAGGCCCTTGCCTTTTCCCATTGTGACTCCAGACCAGAGTGAGCAGACAAGCTAACACTCCACAGGATTTGCAAGACATTCTTTGAGACTTCAGGATGTGCTTCAGCATCCATTGCACCCCACCTTAGAAGAAGGCAAACGCTGCCATCAAGCAGAAATTAAAGGGCTATAAGTATATTTACATTTCAAGAGATAATAGAAAGACTCTTTAACCTTGTATCCGCAAAAATAAAAAAGCAGAACTGAAAGAACAATAACCTATGAGCAACACTCAGGTATGTACAAGTCATTTTTATCTAGATTGAAAAACATGAGGGACTCCCTCTAGGAGTTGAACTCAACATCTCGCCTTAACCTTACGGGGACAAAAAGGTAGATCTAGCAACAAGGAGGTACTTCATGCTATTGTCAAGCAGACACACAATCTAAAGTAGCACTCTATACGTATGCTTACCTATGAGCAAGAACTAAGTGTGCATGGTAATCCAGAATGTGCTTTGCGATGATGTCCCAAGCTGTATAAAAATCTGAACAAGAGAAAAATAGTTTAAAATGGGGTAAATTTCACTAATGCCCCAGGACTTTAGCTAATATCTCTTCCTAGTCCCTGAAATTTAATTGTGAATCTTACTGCCACGAGAACTTTTAAATCGGTCTTGCCCAGGAAAATAAATTTGCAGGGATCAGTCAAATTTATTAGTTCAGCAACAGAAATAAACAAGTTAACAGACAACAGAATTACCAATTACGTCAGCTTCACAAAGGTGGGCAAGACTTTGAAAACCAAGAGCTTGAATTATAGGATCTTTGTTCTCAATGCAAGCCTGTAGATTCAAGGACAACCAGGAAACACCTTAGAACTGAATGCATAGAGAGAGAGAAGAAAAAAAAAAGCATTTAGAGAAACATACCGAAACAGACAGGATGAGGTCCACACCCCTATCAGGATTTTTTCTGCAAACATCCCGTATTGATGCGGCCATACTGATGCATGTATCTCTATCTCTCTCAGACTTTAATTCAGCGAACTCCTTTGGAAGCAACACTCCCTAATGTTGTGAAGGAAAATGCAAAACATGAGAACAACTCAGTGATAGAAAATGGGAAATAAAAAAGTAAAACCTCACCTGCAAACTCCCAAAGGCACGGTCATTGGTCTCCCAAGTCTGGCAAAGTAAACGAATGGCTGTCGCATACAAAGTTCTGAACATCAAATGAAGGATTTCAAACAAAATTAAAATTATTAATAAATAAGAAAACTTCTCCAGAACGGTACATAGTACATACGGTTTAGCATCCTTCTGAAGCATTGGCAAGATAGTCTGAACAACAAGTGGAATCATCATAGAATGTGAAGCAAGTGCTGGAAGCATTGTCAAAAGTTTGGGCTGCAGCACCAGTTCAATAAAGTAATTACGGAAAATTTGAGAAAAAGAGAGCCACATAGAAAAGCATGTGTGCCTATTCTAATAAGACATAAGGAATCCAGGATACGAAATGAAAACTCACCAACATACCATAGCGACTTATATCTTTTCTAGTGAATATGTTATTGTAGAATAGGATAGCCAGCAAAAGTTGAGGTCCCACTTTAGGATCCATAGTAGCAATGGCAGTCAACGAATCTAAAGCAGTACTCCCAAGTAACTGATGCATCACTAAAACACCAGCAACCGCACAGAGTAACAAGGGCATTCCTACAAGAACAAATGGTGGGGAAAATGTGAATATGATGCAAATGGAAAGTAATTATTAAGACAAATGCACCAAAGTTGGAAGAGGTCCCAAGTTCCAAAATAAAATTCAGGGAAATGAAGGTGCCCCCTAAGTATTTACCAGTAACGAATCTCTCTTGAGACTGGGAGAGAGGTAGGGAGGACTTTCGTCTGTTAACAATCCATAAAGTGTACTCTTGTAATTGAGATGTCCAAGATCTTGATACATCATAAATCTCTTTGCCATCAGTTCTACCACTAGAAGCAAAACTTAAGAAGAAACTCGACAGTGCAGGATCCTGAAAAGAGTTGCAGTTTTCTGTTAGAACTTTAATAATAATTTCATTCTACATATGATGTGGACAAAAAGTATTTTCTTTCTTATTTTAAGAAGGGGTTATGAAGACCATAAGATAAATATTAAAGGATGCTTTGATTTGGAAGAAATTTACAACCCCTTACTTCAACAAAGAAAAGAAGTCCAATAATGAGAGAGAAAAAGAAAATACACCTGAAACCATAGACGCTGTAAGATTCTAAAAACAATAGATCCAGGTGTGCTAAGAGATGGATATCCTGCTTCTTCTGCTGGTTTATCCTTTGGTGCTATCATAACTGTTACTAAGAGCTTTTGTAACACGACAAGCACATCTGTTGCTGTTCCTTTGATGTATTTAGAAGGAGAGGACAGTAGGCTAATGACAGGGAATATGAATAAAAGCTCCTCGCTCGGAGCACATGAAGTTCTGTGAACAACATCTTCTACAAGAGGGAGTAAAATTCATATAAGCAAAAAGTAGAAAACATTGAATATGGGAATGGAATCCAATTAAGAACACAACAAACCAAAATGAACACTGATTTCATTCTTTTTTTATTACAAAACATATAAATATATAAATAAAAGTGAGATACTAGTCAATGTGAAGTCATTTAAGAAGCAAAGCATAAATATAACGATGCAGCTCTTGCTCAATCAGTACCACATGACAGAGATAGTAAGATAAGCTGGCTAGCAATTCCTAATAGATTCTTAGAGACACCAAGACCTATAAAAAACTGCAAAAACGTAGAGACTATCAAAGTTTCAAGAAAAAAAAATTAAAGCTTACCGTCCCCATACTTCCACTTCAAGAGAAGGTGAAGAAGTTTCAATGTAGAAAGTTGTTCATGCTCAAGCTCTGACTGAACGAGGATAATAAACAGCGTAAGCATAGTTGATGATAATTTAGGCACATAAGGCAACCCAATATCTTTCTGGGCAATCAATAAGTTCTTGGACATTTCAACTACGGGCTCAATCAAACCAGAGTGCATGTGGCCAGCTGAAGAAATTAAAAGAATTTTCTCAAGCAGTTCCAAACCACAGTAATGAGCCTCAGCGATCAGCTGCCAACAAGAACAGGAAAAAAGGTGTTAATCTTTAACTATGTAGGAAAAGAGAAAGGAAATGATCAACCAAGACACACACACACACACACACACAAAAGAATGATCAAACCACACAATTGGAAAAGCTAAGAATATACCGATCCAGTTCCAGCCAAATTCCTCAGAACCACTGTATATGCATCGACCATACATTCCACAAAATATATGAAATTCCTAAAATCCTGAAAATTTTCAAGAATTAACCTAATTAGCATCAAGCCAAGGGGAAACAGTCAACCGCCTCCACCAATCTCCAATAAAAGCAGAAGAAACCAATATATACCATAATACACGTAGCGAGTATACCTACTTCTGAATTATTGTGTGGAACAAGTACGACACAGTCTGTCAGCATTTTCAAGACAGGCAGTGCCTCAAGAGGAATTGAGCAACAAAGAGAGGCCGTTGACGATATTAGATGCCTTGCAAACAACGCCGAAGTCTCTGAAAAAGGTATCCTTAAGATTGAATAATTCAAAAACGGTCTTAAGAAGTCACATATTTCCACCATTCCCAACTGCTTATTCTTTGCCACAAACAGCAAAACCTGCTGCACAAGTTCCGACTCGGCATCTGATCGGCAGGACAGAACCTGTCAACCATTAAAACCATCATCAAGATTCCAACTCCATCACCCACTTACCAGCATTTCTATAAAATTCAAAAAAATAAAGACAATCAAAACATTCAAAAAATAAGACTCTGTTTGGTTGCCTCAACTTTCCCATTAAACCAGAATTGAATTCAAATTACACTAAACCGTTAGATTCCTAAATTCATTCCGCAAAGTATAAAGCTAAGAAAAATCATTTCTTTTCAAACAAACACGGTCCAAAACAATTGATTTCCTTTTACCTTAACAAACGGATGAGTCTCCGCTGTAATAAACGACTGCTTGCCATTGCTCCTCTGAAACCCTAACCGAACCAAAAAACCCAAACCTTTGACGAAAAGGTCGACGAATTTCGGGGCGGACCCTTCGAGTGCGGACTGGAGCTCAAGAAACCCGCGGGAAATATCAATTTTGGAGTCTGTCACGAGGCTGCATAGCTCGCGAACCGACTGGTCCACGACGGCAGGGGAGGTGGAGCGGAGGCACTGCGAAATGGCTTCTCTTCCGGGTTCGGAGTCAGAGTCCACATATTTTGGGGCGGATCGGAGCTTCGAGAAGATTGAGATCACGGCGTATTTCTGGAGTGACGGTTGGGGTACCCGCGTCTTCTCCAGCAGTGGAGTGTACCAGTCCATTGAGAGAGAGAGAGAGAGAGAAAGAGAGAGAGCGCGGGGAATAAGCGTTTCAGGGAGGAAAGGCCTTAAGTTAAACGACGTCGCATTGCTCTGCAAGAGATTCGGCCCGCAGAAGCTTGAGCCCAATGCACCCTCACTTAACCCAAAAAATTAGGGCTCATTTATAACGTCCAGGTCCACATAAAGATTCGGGTTTGAAATATCCTGACCCGTTTATAAACCCGACAACGTGCAAACGAACTCTCTCCCTTCTGTCTTCCCTTGGTAAATTTAGTGGCTCAAGTGAGACTCCATAGCCTGCAATCGCAAGGATGAAGACGTCGATGACAGAGCTCGACGACGAAACGGTGCGCAGCATGGCCATTGGCGCCGTTTTCTCGGACTTCGTAAGCTCCACTTTCCCTCCTTTTTACATGCTTAATTCGTTCTTCGATCAGTTATCATAATCTTGAATTTTCTGCATAACCAGAAAAATTACTTGGAGTTGCTGATTTGGTTTAGATTAGGGTGTAATGTTGTGATTAATCTTTAATTAGAGGAAAACGTTGAAGAAATCATGTTTTTTTTTTTTTTTTTTTTTTTATTAAATTCAATTTTTTTTTTTTTTTCGGTAAAATCTAAAAGTATAGGTTTTGACAGAAAGTGTGTATCGATTTTCAGGGTGGGAAGATAAATTCGCTTGATTTTCATCGAAAGGACGATTTACTAGTTACTGCTAGCGAGGATGATTCTGTTCGACTCTATGACATTGCAACTGCTAAGTGAGTTAACTCTTACCAGATAGATGTTTATGTCGCAAGAAATCGATTATAGATGTACAAATACGTACATATATATACATATATGTGTGTGTGTGTGTGTGTGTGTGTATAAATGCTAAGGAGACTCTCCATGGACTCCCTGCCGCCTCATAGATTTGGCACAATATTCTATAAAGTTGGCACGGGAATTGACATTAAATTGTGAGGTGGTAGAGGGTCCATGGAGAGTCTGACTTTTGAGAGTCTCCTTAGCATGGGATGAAGTTTGCATAGTATACAGTGTGCCTTTATTTGAGCTATTGATGCTTTTGTTGTAAGTTGGAATATTTGCTCAAGACGGTTTTATGTTGTTAAATTGGATCCTATTGTTGTTAATTGAAGATTTAGGTATTCGTTTGTTTGGAGTTGAATGTTGGACTGCATGACTGGTTAATTGCTTTGCTGTACTATATTGCTGTTATCAACGATATGTGGTATCTAAGCTTGTTCTATGCCATGTTTTGTTGTTGCGAGACTTCATCGGGATCTTAAACAATTGAGCATGTTTTCTGCTTATTCGGGCTCACGTGTCCCCCTGACAATTAACCAGTAATTAAGTGCTTGTCTACTTTCGAATTGTTTCCTGTATCTGAAATTTAAGTTTTAAACATGAACTTCAGGTTGATAAAGACTACATTTCATAAGAAACATGGTGCAGATCGTATATGCTTTACCCATCACCCAAGTTCTGTTATATGCTCTTCAAAACACAATCTGGATACCACCGGAGGTCACTTTTTATAACTTTTCATTCATTATTTAACTCCTAATTTCTGTGGCATTACTTTCTTAATGATTCCATCTGTTTCTCTACCAGAATCGCTGCGGTATCTGTCGATGTATGATAATCGATGCCTTCGCTATTTCAAAGGACATAAAGAGAGGTTTGGATCTTTTGAACCTTTAGTACTTTAACAATAAGCATAAGGTTTAATTTGGAATACTTGTCGTCTGTTTGTCATATAGAAGTGCTTATTTGTCTTTAATTGTCTATTTAAGGCAGTAGGATCCGTACGTTTTACTGAATATCACTGCAGAAGATGACCGATTCAAAAGGAGACATCAAAAAGTAAATTTGGAAATACATTACATTACATTACATATGATATTAATTGCTTCTGTAGGATTGTCTCCCTCTGTATGTCTCCGGTGAATGATAGCTTCATGTCTGGTTCATTGGACCACACCGTCAGAATATGGGATCTCCGTGTAAATGCCTGCCAGGTAGGTTTTTGGTTTCAATACATTACATGTAGGCTAAATTTGGAAAAGTACTCTAGATAACTTGAGATGCAGTTCTAAGACAACTTTGCAATTCATGCTTGTAGGGAATTTTACATATGCGTGGTAGACCTACAGTTGCCTATGATCAGCAAGGTCTTGTTTTTGCCGTGGCAATGGAAGGGGGTGCGATTAAATTGTTTGACTCACGCTCCTATGACAAGGTTATAACCTATGAAATACTGAATTTCTATTGCCACCATTATGACTTTTCATATCATGAATTTAACTAAAATTTTCCTAATTAGGGTCCATTTGACACCTTTTTAGTTGGTGGAGATACTGCTGAAGTTTGTGATATCAAATTTAGCAACGATGGCAAATCAATGTTATTGACAACCACAAACAACAATATCTATGTTCTTGATGCATATGGAGGGGAGAAGGTGCACTTTTGTATTTAGATAGTCTTATACTTCCCATAGGCGTGTTATGATAATGATATGCATAACGGTTCGAAACTTTACCCTGTGCAGCGTTGTGGGTACAGTGTGGAACCCTCTCCAAATGTAATTATCGAGGCAACTTTTACCCCAGATGGCCAGTATGTGGTGTCAGGTATAGTATTTTTCCGCTGATGGTTACAATGTGGCATCTTATCCATTCCCGATTGTTAACTTTTCACTCCATGTCATAGGCTCTGGAGATGGAAATTTGCACGCCTGGAGCATCAACAACCGAAACGAGGTATCAATTTGTTTATAAATTTGCTCACGGTGAAGGTTTTAGATGCTAGTTCACGAGAACTGTTAGCTTATCTGTTTTATAGAATATGACCGTCAGACCGTCCCTATTGCTTCCCCCTGCCTCTCTCCCACACCTCTCTTCTCTAAAGAATTATGGGGTGTTAGACTAAAAGCATTAAGCATTTCAATTGCTTATCTGAGTGAGTCCTAATATCACCAGTACTACTACTACCCTTTCAGCCCTTTTAGTTGTTATCGACTTGCATAGCATTTCGCAATTATCTCGAACTCCTTTGGAACTTAGCTTTTAAAATGGCTAAAAGCGCTTTTTGTGTAAATTTTTATAGAACTAATCTTTAGCAGAAATGAAAGTGATGGACAAGCACTTGAAGTGCTTTCTACAAAAAGCACATAACTCCTATTTGCAGGAAGCACTTTAAGTGCCTGTGGAACCCAAAAACATTTTCTCTAAAAGCAATTTTAGTCATTTTAAAAGCACTTCCAAGTTCCAAACGAACCTTCAAATTACATAGCATTTCGCGATTTATCCCGAAGGCCGCCAGTATTTTAGCTGCTTGAATTTCTCAAAAACCCCATACGTGATGAAACCATATGAGAGGAGTAAGTTTAAATCGAATAGATTGTGAGATAAAGTTATCGAATATTGACTCTTATCAATTGGTATTTCTCCATAGGTGGCATGCTGGGACAGTCACATCGGAGTTCCGTCATGCTTGAAGTGGGCTCCTCGCAGAGCCATGTTTGCCGCCGCATCAAGCGTTCTCACGTTTTGGATACCTAATGAAGCAAACGAGCCTACTCACATGGAGACCGAAGCTGGTGCTGCCGATCCCGAGCATCCTTCCCAGTGAAACCCTTTGGTTTGCCATATCACCGGGGCCGATCCGATAAATTCTCAAATTTTGTATTGTTTTGTAGGATAAGAGTACAGTCTAGCATGTTGTAATGAGTTTAAACTTTATGTGACGTTAGTACATTACCAATAAAACTTCTTAATTGTGGTTCCACCTAGCGCAACAAAAGGTTGCTCTTGCCACCGAATAGTCGTTTATATTGCTCCTTATGATTGAAAAGTCACGGGTCCAACAAAAAGATTGTTCTTGTGACCGAATAGAGTCGTTTACGTTGCTTCTTGTGATTAAAAAGTCACGGGTTTATGTTGCTTTTTGTGAAAAGTCATGGATTCAGGTCGTGAAAGTAAAGGTCACTTTTGTGACCGAAAAGACCGAAAAGAGTTGTTTATATTGCTTAGACAAATTCGAGTCTTCAAAACAACCCAAGCGACCACGTGAAAGTAAAGGTCACTTTTGTGACCGAAAAGACCGAAAAGAGTTGTTTATATTGCTTAGACAAATTCGAGTCTTCAAAACAACCCAAGCGACCACGTACATGTTCCCCGAAAGAGAGTAGTTTCTGTTGCTTCTTTGCCGAAAGGGATTCTCTTCGGATCCCTTCCACCTAATCCTCTTCATCAAATAATTCAGACCTTTGAAATTTAATCCAACGGTTAAAAACACGAATTCATTTTAAAAATTATAATAATTTTAATCGTTGGATCAAATTCGTCTGGATTGTTTGATGAGAAATATTAGGTGAAAAGGATCCCATCCAGATCTTTGAAATTTGATCTAAAAACACAGACCCACTTTAAAAGTTATAATAATTTTAATCATTGAATCAAACTTGTCCGAATTGTTTAATGAGAAAGATTACATGAAAATGATAGGAAGAGGATTCCCTTCTTTGCGACCTTCCTTTTGCTCCTCGAAAGAGAGTAGAAAGACCTTACTGTTGCTCCTCGAAATAGAGTAGTTTCTGTTATTTCTTTGTGACCGTAAGATCACGAATTTGTTGTTCCTTTGTGAGCGTAAGGTCACGAATTCGTGTCATAAAAACCACCTTTAAACCACCTCTTTGCAAAGAGATGTTCCCGACCGTCGCATAACGAAAACTTGTTGACTTAGAGTAGCCATTTAATTGTGATTTTAGAGGAGTTACTGATTCTCTTCATTTATATAGTGTGAAATTCTTTTAGCACGGAAATCGGTTGATCCGTTGTTGTGATAGATGAGTGCCGGAAATCAGAGAGAGACAGAGAGACAGAGAGACTTTGCACACAAAAGCAAGAACTGCCAGTCTACAGGTACCCAGCTACGTACATCAAACTACAGAAAAAAACCACATAGAGGTTTTACAACATTATTTCCCCTTCCATTTTCGTATACAAACTGTCGAAAACCTCTTCAAATCTTCCATTCCCTTCCCTTCAACGACTTTCAGTATGCCCGGTTTGCCTCTTTGTTTCGTGGGACTTACTCTGGATGTCCTGGCCAACCTCCTTGGTCTTCTGCCCCACGTACTCCCCCATTTCCGCCGCGCGCCTCTTCGCCTCGTCCAGGGTCTCAGGCACCACCGATGACCTCCTGAGGTAGTTGGCGATCCACGACAGCGACGACAGCCCGGTCAGCCCGAAAGCCCCGGAGGTCAGAAATCCGGTGACAGCAAGCCCGATGACGAAGAGAGCAGGGACAAGAACCGGGCTGAAGATGATGAAGAGCGGGGTGGCAACGAGAGCACCAATGATGGTCCCTATGAAAGTGAGACCAGCAAGCCCCAGTAGGGTTCCACCGACTGGAAGGCCGGTTATCACTGCAAGAACTTGCCCGGTCGAGGGGCCATCGCTTTGTTGTTGCCCCTTTATGCCGCCAAAGCGGCCACCATGTTCACCGTACTCGTGCTCGCCGTAGCGCGGCTGGGTGGGGCGAACTTGGATATGGTGTGGCTGAGGACGGTCTGCCATTGATGAAGATAGTTTGAGAGGGAGAGTTTAAGAGTGAGAGATCGAGCTTGGAGAATTGTTGTGGAAGGATAGAGATGGAGGAAGAGGAGGTGGCGATGTGGTGGTTTTATAGGAGGAGGAGGCGGTGACACGTAAGGTGTGAGGGTGAGTTGGGGCTTTGCATGTGGAACAAGTTTCAGTGCAACTTTTGGGAAATTAGAAAAACCAAAAATATATATTTACTGAAAGAAACAAAAAAAATTAATTCGAAACGTTGAGGTGACTTTCTGTAGGAATATTTGTTGCCACATTCTGCGTATATGAATTTTTCGATGTTTCGAGAATACGATTTGGTAAAAATTATACTATAGGTAGTTAGACATTTGAAACAAAAAAATTTCAACTATTATATTGTTACACTTAATATATTAAATCGTATTTTCAACACATTAAAAATTTTCTCAGTCGCTGGGTTCTGCCACTTTGTTTTGTTGCCTTGCCTGCTGTTTTATGAACGGATGTTACTTTCTGGAGTTTGTCTGAGCTTGCTATGTGCACCGAATTGTTTTTTTATTTTTACCTTATTTTCTGAATGGAGAAATGCAAAATCAATTTCATGTTTTCCACTCATAAGTTTCCAACAAACAAATAAGGGAATTATTATTAACATTTTAAAAATCTCATTTGGCATTTCAAACATTCTATAATTAGAAAGAAAAATACATTTTGTGCAGAATGTAGAATGAGATTTTTGGAATGTTAATAACAATTTCCAAAAATAATTCAACTCATAAGAAAAGAAATGCGAATCTAAATCTAATGTTGACATGTGAAAAGCAGGAAAAAAAAAACACATCTTTCAATTCAATTTTAATTTAACTCATGTGGCATTCAATTACACAATCGTGGATCCTATGCACTAGCCATGTAACTACTCCAACAAAAAAAATTGCTAAGTAAATACGAAAGATAAATTCTCAACTTTTTTATATTTCACACGGCACGTTATAATTTGATTTTTAATGCTGATAAATCATATGATAATAAAAGTAAAAATATTTTTGTGATTCATTCTCGTTTCTGAAAGAATATATTGTCATGATGAAGTCAAAGCTTACCATTTTTTAAGAAAAAACAAAAAAGAACCAATCTAAGTCACATATAATAAAAATTATTGTAATAATAGTAGGAATAATATTCGAGAATTAAAAAAGAAAATCCTTTTAAAACACTGTTTTGGTTTGTTAATTGGAATCTGGGATAACCGCAGGAACATAACGGCGTTAGAATCCAAGTGGAGGTTTCCCCTTCGATTCGAAGGATGAAGATGAACGACCCGAACATCAACGTACATAACAAATCATCAAATACAAATCAAATCGAACCAAATTTCGATCAACCCATCATCCCCAAATGGCTGGATTAGAAGAACTTAGAAAAAAGCTCACTCCTTTGTTCGACGCCGAAAAGGGCTTCTCCGCCGGCGGCCCTTCCTTGGAGCTCGACCCTTGCGATTCCTACACTGTAAGCACTTTTGACTTTTTTCTGCAATCCGAATAATCAAAGTTTGAATTTTGAATTTTGGGTTTCTGGAAATTGTGGAAATTTGATTCTGGGTTTTGTGGTGAAGCTATCGGACAGTGGAACGGTGAACTTGCTGAGCAGATCGTACGGCGTGTACAACATCAATGAGCTCGGATTGCAGAAATGCACGACCTTGGCGGTGGACGACAGCGCCGAGAAGACCTACCGGTGCGCCTCGCGGGAGATGAGGGTGTTTGGGGCAATCGGCAGCGGTGCCAGCAGTGTTGTGCAGAGAGCTATCCACATTCCCACTCATCGGATTCTAGCTCTCAAGAAGATCAACATTTTCGAGAAGGTATCATTTTTCACCTTTTCGGATATATTCTGTTTATGTTTTGATTTTTACAGTAAAAAATGGGATTATATGGTTGCTTAGTAGTATGTACTTTGATTTGCCCAGTGTAAATTCCAAATTTAGAAGCTTTATGCTAGTGATTAGAGATCCGAATGCAAATGGTGCGAAAAACCCGGCAAATTTTGAGTGTGGGAATTGAATTAGTGTTGTTTGTTGCATGATAGGAGAAAAGGCAACAGCTGCTTACTGAGATACGAACACTATGCGAAGCACCTTGTTACCAAGGCCTTGTAGAATTTCACGGCGCATTTTATACACCGGATTCTGGACAGATAAGCATAGCTTTGGAGTATATGGATGGAGGATCGTTGGCGGATGTATTAAGATTGCAGAAAAGAATACCCGAACCTCTACTTTCTTCTATGTTTCAAAAGCTTCTACATGTAAGCATATGCACACTGGGTTTCAGCTAGATTTTATCAGAATATTGGCACATTTGCATGGTGTTTAAGCTTCTTATTCTTATGTTTTAATGTGGAAGGGTCTGAGGTACTTGCACGGAGTTAGACATCTAGTCCACAGAGACATAAAGCCTGCCAATTTGCTCGTGAATCTGAAGGGTGAGCCAAAAATAACAGATTTTGGTATAAGTGCTGGCTTAGAGAATTCAATGGCAATGGTTTGTGATCCTTGTACTTTGATTTAATCATCATGATTCATCACTGGTTTCTTAACTGCATTCATTTCCGCTATTGGCAGCATCTCCTTTCATGTTACATATGACTCATAGATGTTAAAAGTGGTCTTTCGGTATTAACAAATCTAACAATGTAATTACCAGTGTGCGACATTTGTTGGGACGGTCACATACATGTCGCCTGAGAGAATTCGAAATGAGAATTATTCTTATCCAGCTGATATTTGGAGCCTTGGTCTTGCTCTCTTTGAGTGTGGTACTGGAGAATTCCCGTATACAGCTACTGAAGGACCTGTCAATCTTATGCTGCAGGTAACATGATTATATTTGCCAATCTTATGCTGCAATCATATGCTTTCCATTGCCTACATTCGTCGTTGTTTTGCAACTAAAGTGCTGAGGTCACTGGCAGATCCTGGAAGATCCATCACCTACACCTTCAAAACACAAATTTTCACCAGAGTTCTGCTCGTTTATTGAAGCTTGCTTGCAAAAGGATCAAGATGCTAGGCCAACAGCAGAGCAGGTGATCATATTAACTACAGATTTCAATCTGGGAGACGGTAGCTTGACATCAACATTGTTTAACTAGTATTCTCCTCCTGCAGCTACTTTCACACCCCTTCATCACAAAGTACGAGGATTCCCAAGTGGACTTAGCAGCATTTGTCCGAAGCGTATTTGATCCAACACAAAGGATGAAGGACTTGGCAGATGTGAGTACTTGACCCTTGCATTATCTTTATACCAACAAATGTGCGCTAAAAACCGCTTAAAATTGCTAAGTCTAAATCTTATCTCTAACAATTTGTGATCTACTGCTATTGATCTAAGCTATTAATTTTTTTTTACCAGATGCTTACGATACATTACTACCTACTATTTGATGGACCTGATGAGCAATGGCAACATTCAAGGACGTTATACAACGAAGATTCAGTTTTCAGGTACTGAACAGTGCTACTATAATTTTGATTTCCAGCATCTAATTGATATAGACGGCGTTGTTGAGTTCTTGCGGAATCACTGTGGGTCGTTGAGTTCTTTTATCTTTTTAGTTTCTCAGGAAAGCAACATGTCGGCCCAAATGATATCTTTGCGACTCTATCAAGTATCCGGAGTACACTAGCTGGTGACTGGCCTCCTGAAAGACTTGTGCACGTTGTAGAAAAGCTTCAGTGCCGCGCCCACGGTCAGGATGGAGTGGCCATTAGGGTATCCGGATCATTCATTGTTGGGAATCAGTTCCTCATATGTGGAGATGGCGTACAAGTGGAGGGGTTGCCAAGCATCAAAGATCTTTCCATTGATATTTCGAGTAAGCGAATGGGTACGTTTCAGGAGCAGTTCATCATGGAGCCGAGCAACATAATTGGTTGCTACTCCATAGCTAAACAAGAACTTTACATTATGCAGTAAAAAGTGGATGATCCCGTTTTACTGTCGGAATAAGTTATCAGTGTGTGATGTGATGTCGAAGATAAATTCGATTTACGGCCAAAAGCTCTCGTGAGCAGACTTGCTATGTATCATTTAACATACTTGTAGTCAATTGTCCATAATATTCGTAGTTATCCTTGTTATTTGTAACTTATATCGAACGAAGTATACAGTCATCCGTTGATCCCCTATGCCACCAACCCATCACCCCACCACTGCCGTCAACCACCCACCGCACTCCAGCAACACACCATCCACCACCGCCTCGCCAGGTCCCATCGCCCTGGTGCCGGGGTAGATTCCCTTGGTTTGGTTAACATGTTTTTGGGACATTTGAATTAATTACCTATGGATACGCCAGTTAAAAGATGATATTATGAAAGGCCGAGTAAAAAGGATAAAAAGACCTAAGAAGACTTGAAAAAAGATTCCAAGAAAAAACGTACTAGCATTCTAAAATTCATACAACCAACCACGCTTAATTCGTAAATATTCTTAGTTTTCTACTTTCTTAAGGTTTGAAAGCCTCTCAGTACTACGGTATGATAATATTCCTCTTCATTTAAAAATGAGATTAAGTTCAAATCTCGTGGATAACAAATTCAATTTTCAGTTTCCAAACAAATTTTTAATTTCAAAAAAATGCAAACAAAAAATAAAATAATTATCATACGGTTTCCAAATTTTATTTCTGTATTTGCTCAAGGGGCGCTACCCTTCCGGGAAAAAAAATCGTGTGTTTATATTTCCCGTTAATTTACTTTAATTAAATTCAAATCGCCTCTTCTTAATCAGGATTAGATTGTAATGAAAAAGAACTCATCAGATTTGCTCAGTAAGCGTCTAAAACTGTATTCTGAATCACGCCCAGTTGCTTGTGGCACAAAAATACAATGCGACCAGAGCGATTTTCATCAAAAAGATCCTTCTGTATACGCTTTACATACAATATAGAAACCTGCACAAAATCAATCCAGGAAAAAAAAAAAAAAAAAAAAAAAAAATCAAACTTCGAAACAAAGAATGAGATTTCGAGAAAACAAAGCGTCAGCGAAATTTTTGTACTTACGGTAGAAATTATCTGAAATGGGGTTGATCGATCCAGTTCTGAAGCAGTAGACTCAGAGGCAATGTCAGCACTTTGTACAATAAACCCAAGACCTACAAGTTTAAGGGAGGTACTCCAAAGTAATCACGAATTGTTTTCCTTTTTAGAGAGGAGGGAGGGTGCAGAACAGAAGACGGGCTGTCCAATGCAGCTTCGGGGGTCTTCTCCAAGGTTTTGCTAAAGTCAGGATCCGACGTAGATTGTTTCTTTTGAGACGGGGGAGTACTCATTTTATGCATACTAATCGGATTGAGTGAGTTAGTTTTGTCTAATCCTTCATCTGATGGACACAGATTTCCGGAATCCTTTGAGGTATGCATTGTTGATTCATTCATCAGAAGCTTTCTACACTCTGCACTTGGGATTGCCATGACTCTCCTTCGAATGGTAGATGGAGAGCTTGTGCTTGGGGAGTCACTATTCTGAGAGTTCCAAATGCGAACCTATCGAGATGAAAAATACAGGAGAAGGGTCGAATTTAATACGTTTTAGAAAATAGCATGTACTTGTGAAAATTGATGAATGTACAATCTTATCCATGAACTATCTTGCATACCGTAAAATCATCTGACGAAGTTGCCATCTTTCCGACCTCAAACTGGGACCTATTCGAAGTTGAAAAACAGTTCAATCATTTGTCAAGAAATATTGAAAACCAGCAGCATTAGGGTAGGAATGGAATAGGATACATACCAATCCACTGCAGTAACTTCCCTGTCGTGGCCTTTCAATATAATGGGGTCTTCCTGAGGCTTGTTTACCTGGTTGACATTACCGATAAAGTCATTCTCGATCCAAGAGCAGTATCAAGTAGCGCCTTAAAAACGAAACCTTACCTGCCAAATATAGGCATTTCCATCGCTAGAGCCACTGAGTATTTGAGCAGCATCAGGACTAATAACTGACTGCAATTACATGTTTGAAACAAAAAGTGTAAGTAGGTGGGAAATCGCAAACTGGACTAGTGCACTCATCAACAGCAATGTTTACCTTAACAAAAAAAGTTTCAATCCGGCATCCAGTGAACGTTTGCATAGCACCCTTTTGTAGCTGAAGTACATTATACAAATATATGCTGACAAAACACAGGAAAAGAAGTGTTATAGGTTGAAAAATTGATTAGTTTTTACAAGACTTGAAAGAAATATTAGTTTCTTATGCTAGGAACAACTAAGGTGATGGTTGTATGGTACGGGGATATGCGCTGAATTTCAAGGCATCAAATTTCAGATAATATCTTTCGAGCATATAAAGATGTGCTAATATAGAAAAAGGTACCTGTTATCCATGCATGAAGCTGAAAGAAACACTCCGTTTAGATCTTGGGATAAGCTAGTTATACCGTGTAATCGTCTTTCCTGAAATTAAGAGAATTGCTAGCTATGAAGACATCATCAAATAATCCAACCACTTGTTGCTTGCTTTCTGCTAAACTGTCATGAGCCTTTGGCTGTTTTTATTTTGTTTCAGGTTTTTAATCCTTGTAATATAAGAAACCATAAACCAGAAATGATCCTGATATCATCAAGGTGAACAGAAAAAATATATGCAGTTCTTCACAGCTTAATTTACATAAGACACTTAACCAGTAGAAAATTAGTACCATCACAGAGTGCCAGACATACCTTCTCAGTTGACTCTGGTTGAGGGCACGTCTGTGTGACAACATTTTTCAAACTTCTGGTATCCCAAAACTTGACAATGCTGAAACGAACCATAAGATTACATTAGTATGATATGCATTTGACAAGGAAATTTGGCGTTCCATTATGCTGTATCATTTCCAATGTCCCTATATACCTGTCCACAGCTCCGGCAGTAGCAATGGAGACCTCATCTTTAAGATAAAGAACTGACGTGATGCTCATGGAAACAGCCTGTAAAAGCTGAAGTCTGAATGAAGAGTACATAATAATTTATAAGAACCATTATCAGAAACATACCTTTCCGCGCCTTACACGTTTTGCCCGTGGAAAAATGTGAGCCCCTGTAACCACGGCAGTTGAGCTGAAAGAAATTATTATGGATTAGAATTAGAAAATAAATCAAACTTATATCGACAATGAAAATATACTTTACGAGAAGTTGTTTACCGTATAGAAAGCTCCCCCTGCATATTTGTGGAGCTTGAATTACATCTCATATCCCAAAGAGCAAAGGAGCCATCTCTCGAACCAGAGACAATAATCTCTGTCAGATGAGAAGCAATAGTTCAAATTAGTTGTATTTCTCATTAGTCATAACACAAAAATAGCACAAGCAAATAAATATACAAAAACCCACATTCAGATGAGAATATAAACCTACCGGGATTAGTTGGATGAGGACAAAGAGATTTCACACTTCCTGTGTGCCCCATCAGTAATGCAGTACATTTCTTTTCCTGAATATCCCATACCTTGATCTGGGAGAAAATAGAAAAGGCCAAGGAAAACACAATCTTTAAACTGAAGTAGCTGTGATATGAAATGAGAACTACTTAATGCAACTTTCCTTACAAGGTATATCAAATTTCATAACTTTAATTATCTGAGTTATGTAGCACATTGCAGTAAGAGTTTAATCCTAATAAATTCAATACAATTCCCTTTCCTTTACAGAAATGAAAGTTTGCTACAATTGTAAAATCGTCAAGTAAAGAGGCTGGACTAGAACTTAATCACTTACAGTCTGATCACCAGAAGCTGTCATAATTTGAGTGTCATCCTGCAAAAACATTTATATTGCAAAAGACACATTAGCACTAAAAAGATGAAGACTTTGCAATCTTAAATTTTGTTCTCCGATTTTGTTAACCCATCTACTAAATTAACACCAATAATACTTAAAAAAAGGATTTGCACTTTTGACAGCTAGTTACAGATTAACAGCAACGTCATTTTTTCCAGTCAACAAATTAACAGCAATATCACTTCCCAATTTCTAATAGTTGACATGTAACATTCTACTCCTCAAGAATTTCCGGCTTCCCCATTCCGCCATTCAATAACCTATTGTGTGTAGCATACACAAATATCTATTACAATTGAAGATTATTGAGAGAATAATTCAAAATTAGAGAGAAAATTTATGGATTATACCTTAATCCAACAGATATCAAACACAGTGTTTTGATGCGCAACCCAATCGCAAACCCTAGTTTTATCTGAAAACAATAAACCCAAACAATCAATTTAGTCACCATACAACACAAACCATAGCAATCAACAATCTATATCAATCGATTCGATCTCCAAGTAATCAACCTGCGTTTTCTTGGTGAGATGCAGATGCGGAGAACTTGCGACGTGTATCGAACAGGCTCAAGTACCCATCCTCGTCGGACATGGCGACTATGTGCGAGCTTTTCCAAGTCTGCACCGAAATTAAAATGATAAATGAAAAATATGATTTTGATTAGTTCCAAAAATTTAGTTCACGATTCAAAAAGGCCAAGAGGAACATATTTGTTTACCTTGCCGAACGAAATCGCCATCGGAGGGCCGTTGTGCTCTGCAGCGATGGCGCCAATTTCGTAGAAATCTGATGCCAAGCCATTGGTGTACGGCCGCTTCCGAGCTGGGAAAAAACGCAGCGTTTAGTTATCATGAGATGCGCTATCAAATTGATTGCTAAAAAGTGTAGATTTAGGGAGAGAGAGAGAGAGAGGAACCTCTGAATCCGTGAAGCTCTCTAGATCTGATGTCTTGGAAGAACGATTGGGGCTTTGAGATCTCCATCGAAACCCTAAGACCGTAAATTGGATTGAAGAATCGTTAAAAGCAGCAGACGGCGGAGCTGCGGAGGAAGGATGTTTGGCGGAGAATAAGGGGTTTTCTTCTTCATCATCTTCTTTTCCTTTATGTATCTTTGGGGAGTTGGCGCGAGTGAAGTTTGGCGGGAAATGAGTTTGATGTTTAATTGCTGAAACTTTGACGGATATCAGCTGGCGCCAAAGCGGGGCTGACGTTTGCCGGTTTTCCCTTCTATTTTCTCCTCTTCTCCAATTCCTACACCCTTTTTTTAACTTTTTTATTTTATTTTTGAGATAATTAGAGCAACAGTTCTTAAATTTTAACTCAATTAAAGTTTTGACCTTTAAATTAAAAATTCATGAATATGTACTCCTAAATTTGTTATAAATATAGAGTAATAGTACCTAAATTTAAACTCAATTGGAGTTTTGGTCTCTAAATTAAAATTTTGAGAGTTAGTACTAGTTTGGTACTAAGATGCTTTTATAAAAAGTGAGTATCAAAAAAAAAAAGAGCTAAAAAAAGGTGTTTGATAAACACTTAAAAACAGCTTTTTTCACAATTTTGAATGAAAAAAAGCTGAAAACGTGAAACAACAAAAATGAGCTTATTCTCACAGCACAGCAAAAACAGTTTTTTTTCAAAGCACAGCAATACCAAACCAGCCCTTAATCAAAAGGACCTTCCACATTATAACAAGTTAAGAACTAATACGCACAAACTTCTAATTCAAGGACTAAAGCTTTAATTGACCTAAAATTCAGGGATCATTGCTAAAATTCTCTTTCTTTTTAAAACTATTTTACTTTATGATCTTTTTCCTGTTTAGTAAATGGACTCTAAATTCACAAAATAACAATAAGCAAAAATCATTAATTTGGTCATATAAAATTTAACTAAATTGACGATGTTAGAGGAATATTCAAATTTTCAAAATATATTTTGTTCAAAAAAAAAATTCAAAATATATTATTCACGTGTCATATTTGTTATCGAAAAAGAAAATGTACGAAAGAGCAAAACTCTTTTCGTATGGACCTATTTAATGTACACCAATTTAGAAATAAGTCCAAAACTATAGGTTACATGACCCGAGCTAGCCCAAACCCGCATTTAAAACCGACCCGTATGAACAAACTCGAAGTCTGCTCTGTTCCGCTTAAGCCCTAACCTAAACCTCTACGTTTACAGTCTCTTCAGCCTCCGCGCGTGCTCTCTCTCTCTCTCTCTCCACCGCCGCTGCCATGGTGAAGCACCCCGCCGCCCCGGTGAAGCATAAGCATTACAGGCCTGCCGTATGTTCTAATTCACCTCTCCGTCTCCGATAAGCTCACCTATATACATATCAGTATTAAAAGAACAATTTCCAATATTTAATTTCACCATTTTCTCACACTTCCAGTTGATTTTCCCTCGAATTTGCAGGGAAAGAAGAAGGAAGGAAATGCCGCGAGGTACGTCACCAGGTCACAAGCTGTCAAGCAGCTTCAAGTCAGTCTTCCCCTCTTCAGGTCCGTCTGTGGTATTCAAGTTGTAATTTCTGTGTTTTCACATGATTTATGTAATTTATGTTAATGTAGGGTTTATCGATTGAATTATTGTATGATTGCTTAATACATGTTCATGCTGTTGGAAATTTTAGGAAATTGTGTATTCTAAAGGGCGTGTTCCCTCGGGAGCCGAAGAAAAAGGTGAAAGGAAATCACCATACCTATTATCATTTGAAGGATGTTTCTTTCATTCAGCATGAACCGCTACTCGAGCGGTTGAGAGAGATAAGAGCATACGAAAGGAAAGTAAAGAAAGCCGATGCGAAGAAGAACAAGGAACGGGCTGCTCTCCTGAAAGAGAGAAGGCCCACTTACAAATTAGATAGAATTATTTTGCAGAGGTTTGTTGGGTTTTTCTTACTGTTAAAAAGTTAGTTGCATGTCTGTTATTGTATGCCGAGCCTGACAGTCGTTGTTTGGTATGTTTGGAACTGCAGATATCCAAAATTCGTTGATGCGCTCAGAGATGTAGACGACTGCCTCACAATGGTTCACCTCTTTGCGGCATTACCTGCTATTGAGGACAGAATTGATGTCAAACGCATTCATAACTGTCGAAGGTAGATATTTGAATTTTTCTAAATAAAAGGAGTTTTGAAGTATGACATGATGCTTAGTTACTTCTAGGAGTTAATCGTTTTGTGGAATCTTCTCTTACTATTGGTGTTGCTTTCGTACCAGGTTGAGTCATGAATGGCAAGCTTACATATCTCGGACTCATAAATTGCGTAAAGTCTTTGTATCTGTTAAAGGCATATATTATCAGGTTTGGTTATGTACTGTACACTGCTTATTAAATCTTCAACTGTGCATTTTGTGTTATTTGGGTATGAATTCTTCCGTTGTTTGTCCATGCAGGCCGAGGTTAAGGGGCAAAAAGTCACATGGTTGACCCCTCACCCTTTGCAGCAAGTTTTGACTGATGATATTGACTTCAATATCATGCTAAACTTTTTGGAATTTTACGAGGTTATATTTCGGTTATATTTAGTACTTTGTATTTCTTTTTTTCTGTTATCAACCTCTGTGCTGTAATTGTGGTTCATTCCAACGAATCAAGTACTTAAATAAACTCTTGCGCTTCGTATGGTGCAGGCTCTTCTTGCCTTTGTGAATTGTCATTTATATCGTTCCATAGATGTGAAGTACCCACCGATTCTTGATTCTCGATTGGAAGCTTTAGCAGCAGGTAAAAGTTTTTACTAGTTGCTTATGATATTTTACAAGGTCCTACCTTGTCATTTAGAGTTTTTAATGCTGTTGAGTTGTGATTGTACATTTGTGCGTGTCTATTAATGGATTTCCTCAACTTTTCAGAACTTTATGCACTAGCACGATACCTTGATGCAAATTCTCGGTCCGCAGTGTTGGATTCTCAAGCTGCTAGTTTGTCTGGATCTGGGAATGGTGAGAACAAGAAGATTGAGACTTCGCTTGAAGAGTCTGAACTAAGACTTGCTCAACTTCAGCATCAACTGCCTTCGAATGAACCAGGTGCCTTGATGCACCTTGTTAAAGATGTTTCTGGCGAGGATGAAGAGGATAATGATACAAAGGAGTGTAAGCAACTCTTCAAGGATATGAAATTTTTCTTGAACCGTGAGGTGAGTCTTAAAATTTGAATTGCAATGTAGTGGATATTTTTGCAAAAAGTTATTTTCCTACCAACAAATAGGTCTGATGGGTGAGGCCTTTTAAGGGTGCTTTGATAGAAGAGAATATTAAAAGGCAATTATCTTTTAAAAAACCAATGGATAAACTCACTTCATGATTAATATTGGAATACTAGTCAACTTTGTTTCTTCTAGTTGATAGGCTACATGATAGGCAATAGAATTGTGTTTGGGTTTGATATGTTAATATTTTTTCTGTATTCAGGTTTACAGAGAGTCGTTGCTTTTTGTCATTCCTGCTTTTGGTGGCACTGTTTCCTGGGAAGGTGATGGGGCTCCATTTGAGGAAGCTGATGACAGCATTACCCATCAGGTAAGCTATTACTGTTTTATTTAATTTTTTATGGCTGAATCATTGGCTGATCTGGTTTTTCACTCTCTCCCCTCACAGAAATTAAAAATAAAAAAAATAAAGAAGAAAAAACCGAAAAGAACTGATCATAAGGCTGACAACACTGTTTGTTTATTTTGTAGATTGTTGACAGGCCAATGCATGGTCGTCAGACCCTTGCCAGGGAATATGTTCAACCACAATGGGTTTATGACTGTATAAATGCTCGGATCATTTTGCCAACTGGGGGTTATTTGGCGGGCAGGTAATATTAGGAGACATATTTCTTTGTTTTCCTTGTATATCAGTCCGTGTTTTCTACTATTTTGTTTAGTTGTTAACTCTCTGCCTTGGACCTTGGTGAAATGAATAGTTATAATTTCATATAGTATGTTCTGCTGCATCCACTAATATGTTTGTATGTGCACGCCTAGGTTATTTGGATGGGTGGACCCTTACTTACCCTTTCTTTTTATAATTTGATAGTCAAAGTTTCCGATTGTAAGATTGTTAATTTGGTTGCTCTTTAACAGGGATCCTCCGCCACACTTGTCACCATTTGTTGACAATGAGGCAGAAGGTTATGTTCCTGATTACGCTGAGACCATAAAAAAATGGAAGTCTGCTGGTGAAGTCCTCCCCCTGCCAGGTGTGGGACAAGAAGATTTGGAAGATCCTCAGAATTTACTGTCTGAAGGTGTTATTGACCGAGCAAAAGCAAAAGAAGCTGCAGAGAGAAAGAAGAAGGTAAAGAAGCTTTAAATAATAATGCTGAGATGTGTGATTTTTCTGCTAATTGATTTCATGACGTGCATAGAGACTTCATCGATTGGTTTTGATTGATGCTAACTGAATTCTGATGCAATACAGATGATGGCTCTTGAAAAGCAGTATCATGACGAATTGAATATGGAGCTTCAGGGCATCCAACATTCATCATCTACCTCGAATGTAGATAATCAGAACTCTGCCAAGGAAACCACCGAGGATATGGAAGAGTTTGATCCTGATACCGATCGTGACAATATGTCTAAAATGTTAATGTCCCGTAAGAAGAGGGGTGTTCTTGAAGCTATGGAGGTAAGTTTATTGATAATGTCCTGCTATTTTGATGTATTTTCCGAAAACTTCAGAAATTCCTTCTTGTACCTTATTTCCAACACAAGGATTCTTGGATGTTTTGATCATACAGAAAGGCAAAAAGCGAAAGAAGGACCATGTTGATGTCATCAGAGAACGGAAGAGAAAACTTAAAGAATCTAACAAATAAGCGGGCTAAGGCAGTCAAGAAGTCTGCGTCATACGGTGTTGTTATTGACATGCTGTTTTCGGAGCTCAAAAGTCTGGAGGGTGTTGATGCCGCCGTGGAAATTTTTGGGTTTGATTTTGTTATTGACCGAGTGACTTCTGTAATCTTTAGTTATGTTTGAACGTTGAACTTTTAAGCTGTTGTCCAAGCATATTATCAATACAAACAATTTATAATTATCGCTAATTTACGTAAGTTTTCACAAATTTATTTATGCCGTCTCTTTTTAGTGAATTTTCTTGCCAAGGATTGGTACTGTTAAGATATATTTTAACAAGCCAAATATTGCTCTCTTGAGTCGAATTATCTCAGTATTTGAGTAGGGTTGGTAGGGGAGTGAGGGACCATTTTTTTAATTGGGAAATGTTAGTCACGCAACGTGGCAGCATCCTAACGGTGGTCCTCATCCCTTGGGATGATGATGACGGCGCAAGGGGCGTACTTCTTCAGAGGCAATACTGCCGTTAACTATATAAACCGCACCCCCAATTGAAATTAACTTCATTTCTGTGCGATCGCTATCAAAATATCTCTCGATAATTCTTTCACCAAGGAACATGTACGCCCAAACAAGAACTCTCATCCTCCTCTTCTCATTGGCATCCGTATGGTTTATCGGCTTACCACCTTCCACCGCCGCCCCTGCAACCCCCATTGTCCCTACCGCTGCCCCTACAACCCCCACTGTCCCTACCGCCGTCCCTGTACCCCCCAGTCTCCCCAACTCCGCCCCTGCAACCCCCATTCTCCCTACCTCCGCCCCTGAAACTTCCGTCCCTGCAACCCCCACTCTCCTTACCTCCGCCGCTGAAACCCCCATTCTCCCTACCTCCGTCCCTGCAACCCCCACTCTACCTACCTCCGCCCCTGAAACCCCCATTTTCCCTACCGCCCCACCTACCACCACCACTCTCCCTGCCGCCACCCTGCTTCCCCTACCATCGTAAGCACCCTAACCCGCCGTACTACCTTCACTCAAGGAAAGGACGACGACTGGCCAGAAGAAGACGACGAGCTTCCGGTGAGTAGCTGGCCGGAGGAAGTTCCATGGCCAGACAACTGGACCCCGCGTGCGGAAGATTGCGTCAACTCCCCCAACCCAAGAAACGCTAGTAGTAACAATCTTGGCCGCTGCCCGAACTTGCAGGTGCTTACTGCATTCGCAGCGTGGACTGTCGTCATTGCTGTTGCTTTGGCGTTCTTGATCTGCTGCATGACTGCACATCCAAGATAGTTGTATAGGAGTGTATGAACACGTGTCATTTGTATGTTGATAGAGCCATGTGGCACCATCTTAGTGGTTGAGGTAAGAGCCATGTGTCACCATATTAGTGGTTGACTAGTTAGTTTGTTAGCTACAGTTGTAAGATTCCGATGTAGCATATAACTCCGATTAGCTTGTATGAATACAAACAGAAATTATTTCTCTCTAGAAGTCTAAATTTTTATTTATTGTTTCATTTTAATTCTTTTTCTGTTTGTTTATAATATACCAGATAAAAGTTGTGTGTGTTTATATATATAATTTTTTTTTAAATTGGAATTAAAATTTAAAAAAGGAAAAGTAAAAAGTGGGGGAGAGAAGTAAGAGAAATAAGATTATGATAAATGTCGGTAAGGGAAGGGAAAACAGCAAAAACTTGTTACTTTGATGCCCATATATTATTCTTTTTAATGTTTTTTATGTACAAAAATTAAAAAATTAGTCATATTTTTCAAGGCATAATAACAATATGAACTTTATCACATGTCAAAATTCAACAAAATATTATCAACAAATTTGTAATAAAAGACACTTGATAAAATTTTATTATTAAGAAATATTGTTTCTTAAATATAATAAATTTCTAGAAAACGGTGTCACTATTTTTAAAAATAATAGTCACAATTTCTAGATATTAACGCTATTTCTAGAAACAGTGGTCACCATTTCTAGACAGTTATAATATTTCTAGAATCAATAGATTATTTCTAAAAACTAGGTTACTATTTTTAGAAACAGTTGTCACCATTTCTAAATAATGATACTATTACAAAAAAAAAATTGAAGAAAAACTTTTATTCTTTAGTATTATAAACAATTCTTATTTTAATTTCAAAACTGTAATTTTAACAAATTTTTTAAGTTTGTGTCATGTTGTCTGGGTTAAATAATAATATTGCAATCCAAAAGAAAATGAAAAAAAAAACTTTTATTTTAAATTTTATAGACCGTGCTTATTTAATCTGAAAAAGGTGATTTAAATTTTTATAAAATATGAGTGAGTGAATGGATGGACCCACAAGTCTCATCCAACTTTGACCAAAGAGACTGAGAAATAAAAAGATAAAAGATAAAGGATAACTGGAGCAAAAACAAAAGCTTTCCAAACCACAATTTTGCTTTGTCAACGGTTGGGTTGCTCTCTCCTTTGCTCTCTGATGTCAGTATGTTATCAAATATTTGCAAGAAAGTTTATTAAGGGAATTTTAACAAAAAGTTTTTGATAGTATTTATTTTAACGAAAAATTATATTTTTTTATAAAATAGTCAATTCTGGTACTATTTATTTTACCATTTATTTTGTCATTATCGTTAAAACTCAAAGTTATCAAGTTATTTTCATTAGTTTTCATTTTATTAAGAGCAAAAACAAAGCAATGCAAGTGGAAAATGTGTTTCGGAGTGATTTTATTTGGATAGCAGATATACCATGTTCTGTAAGATTACGATGATATGACAGCGAAAGGACGCAGTCGAGCAGCGCAAGGACGAGGACGCAGTCGAGTAGAGCACAAAGACGCAGTCGAGACGAGGACGCGAGCAACGTCTTGCTTAGCAGTCCGCTACCTTTCGAAGGGTCTTGCTAAAAACCTTAAGTGAGGAATTTAATCGAAGCGAGTCCCTCCTAGTCTCGCTAAAACTAATCCTTGTAACTAACAAACACGAAATTACAGTAACGTCATTCAAAACATCCCTTCATTGCCAAAACTCTTCATTGTATTTTTCAAATCACAAGTCCAATATGTTGTAGCAAAAGTAGAAAGTTACTTTCGTACTTTTATTCCTTATCATTATAAGATTATTTTTAGTTAAATTTAAAAGTTTTGAAGTTTATTTTTTTATTAGTTTTTTTATTTTTTAAATAAAATAATATGTTACCAATAAAAAAATAAACACGTTAATAATTCAATTATCAATAACAACATCATTTCGTTTACAAAATTTAGTTTAAAATTTGTTGGCCCTAGCATTATCCATAATTAATTAATTCTCTCTATCTTACGTGTGTTTCTAGTTTCATTAGGTTTAGGTTACCGGATACAAAACTGTAGTTCTATTAGGTTTAGGTTACCGGATACAAAACTGTAGTTCTATTAGGTTTAGGATACCGAATACAAATTTGGAGAATTTCTTCCTCAGTTACCTATATATATATGGGAAGAGATTCCATCGATCATTAACTTGTACAAATATTCTCAACTCAAATTCAACTGAAAATCCAAGTCGACATTCGTACGAAATCCCCCGTCGACCGCCGCAAGGATGCCGATCAGAAAAGTTTCCCCGGAGACAAGGATGAAGCTGACTCAAGTTGTTTTTGCAATTTTTCAGGTCACATTCTCTTACTGCCGCCTATCAATAAAGCTGTTTTCCCTCCCTCTCCATTTTGTTCTCCACAAGCTAGCAAGTGCAAAGGTCAGAGTAAAAACAACGTTCCCACTGATAAATATTCGTACCAGTAGGTGGTCCGGTGAACTGCCCGTAGAAATCATGCAACTGATTCTACGGCGGTTATGCGTATCGGACCATCTACGGTGCGGTACTGTATGCCGTTCTTGGCGAGCGGCGGTTAGTGCCACTAAACCTAAGGGTTGCCCTCAACTTCCATGGCTCATGCTCCGTTCTCACCCTTTCTCCCTCGAAGAACACCGCTTTCTGAGTCTTGGAGACCAAAAAACTTACAAGTCTTCATCTATCAACCCTAATGATTATATAAGCAGAAGGGATTGTGTTGGTTCAGTTGAGGGGTGGTTGATCATGATCGACAGCGAGTTTTGGCGTCCCGAGGGTTTTTTGTATCCTTGGTCATTTGGCTTGCACTTGCTAGATTACAACCTCAAGTATCCATACGCGACTGTCAACTTCTTCTTGAATCCAACGTCGGGTGCCCGAGTCATGCTCCCGTCACAATCTACGGTTCGATATGGTTACAGCAGCAGACCTTTCTTCTTCAAGAAAATAGTGGCCTCATCGGTGCCAATAACGACATCGTCTCCAGGTCATCATCGTCAGCTAAACCCATCGTGTTTTGTCGCCGGCCTTTCCGCAGGAGGTCGTTATTTGGCCTTTTGTAGACCAACTGATAAACTATGGACACGCATTGATCCGATGCCGGACGCTAGACGTTTAAGGATTCAGGATATAGAAATAATTGATGGGAGATTGTTTGCTTCAATTCGGAATTCATCGGAGTTAATCGTTTATGACCTTGAAACATTATATGTTGACGATCATGCCAATGCCGGTCCTTGTGGTAGTATTTACAGGAGACCGCCTAAAATGTTGGTTATGCTTCATCCCCGTCCAGTTCCTTCCTTGCACTCTACAAATACCATGCCTGGAGTCGTGCGCTATACCGAATGTGAAAAAGTTTACTTAGCAAAAGATCCGACGTCGAAGGACTTGTTTATGATTTTCCATCATGTTAGTTTTGCTTATGAAGAAGAACCAATAATTCCTTGGTCCGGCCTAGGTTGTAATTACGTCATTCCACCTCAAACTCATGGATTTCGGGTGTTCAAGCTCGAGTGTAACAACAGTGGTTCTCGGTGGAAAAAGGTTGACGACCTTGGTGATCGGATATTGTTTATGAGCGAGGCAAGCAACAAAGTAATCTCTGCTAGTAGCCTTACTAGTCCCCATTACACGACGGAATTTGAAGAAAACTGCATCTATTTTGCTTTTGATAATCCCTGTCTAGCATCACCATCCACGGGGCGCGATTTCGGGATCTTTTCCTTGGCGAACGACAGCATCAAGCGTTTTACTGTTCCCGGCGAGGAACCTCGTACTAGTCTATTCCACTCTAAAACTGTATGGTTCACACCAAATTTTCAGCAACTTGATTAAGTAGGAGCCGGAAAGAAGTGGCCTCCTTGTAGTTGATGGCTAATCATGAGTCTTGGTTCATTCTTTCCGCTTTGTGTGGGTAAAGAGGGTAAGGTTTCTACTATTGTAGTTCGACAACCAAGCCTTGTGTGTTGCTCGACTAGCCTAATCCATTATCATCATTTCACAAGCTTTTGGATCTTCATGAATTTTTGTGGTTTAAATACTTGAATATTTTCACTCGTTTATTTCATTCAGTAGATTTTATTGAATACTAAATTAATATTCTCATGATCTTAATGCATTATTTCTAGATCATTGTTAAAGAGTTAGTTGAGTTCGTCTTTGCTCATGCCATCTTATTGTCTATTGGTAGCCTTGAATATGGTATGCTGAAGGATAGATTTTTCATTGTGCCGGAACACTACCCGGTACACCAAGTGTAATACTAAAATTGGTTGGCAACTTGAAAAAAAATTTTGGTTGATAGCATCTATTGGACGGAAAACGTTACTGGGACTCTGTGTCCTCAATGCAAGAGAGGATCACCTTTCCAAACCCTAATACTTGCGACTCCACCAGCAAATATTATTGCCACTCGAAATAGAGCTAGCACACTCAAATTTAGGATTGGTACATAAAATTGTGACTAAATATTCAAAAATCTCACTTTTCACTCAAAAAATCGAAGTGAGAAACATATACAATTGACCTTTACTGTACACAAATTACAAATTTACAGTCCTGCAATCATTTAGCTCACTCTTCACACATCAACGAATATTAACTCAAGCTGCACAATCACACACATCACACTCAAATCTCTTCAATGTTATCGATAACAATCGGAACTTGGAAGCACACCCACAAAATTCCTTAAAGCACCCAATTCTTCAACTGCTGGAACTCATCTGGATTCTTGCATATTTTTTTTCATTCATTTTTCTGAATGCGTCTTTGGATGAGAAGACTTACCGATGATGGCTTTCTTCACCTTGGACATCGAATGCTTGATACCCGAAAGAATGTTATTAGATTTCTTATGTGAAACGACCTTCACATTGACATCAGCATCCCTTGAGGCTTCTACCATGATGGGGGACTCATATCCTGCCTCTCGGTTTTTGTGTTCGTTTTCTCCTTTCTCTTCATCCGTTTTCACTTGTTCAGAAATTTCGTGCTCTTCTTCTTCGTCCTCCTCTGTTTTCAGTTCTTTGCAAGCTGTTGCTGTTTCTTTTGTTGATTCAGGCACAAGATTAGGTAACGAAACTGTCCCTGATTCAGTCGATATTACTTTTCCACATTCATTTGATTCAATCCCTTGTGAAGTTTCAACAATAGGAGCCTTACGGCTGACCTCAGTGCTTGAATCCTGCTTGTGAGATGAATGGTTAAGCTTCAAAATCGATTTTTTCGGTCAACAATATAAAAATTTTTAAGGAAGAAGATTGAAATTTCTGTTAGAAAGATAAAGGAATGTTTATTTCTTGTAGATAACTAAGCAGAATTTTTGTGTGCAATAAATAGCTTGAGTGGCAAGAAAGAAGTGAGGGTCTCATGCAATCTGACCTTTTCCATTTGGGTTGATGTTATGCTGCTCTTAGAGTTTATTTCATCTCCCTGATTTTTAAGACCAAATTCAAAAGCTGCCTCCTCAACTCTCTTCTCTTCTTCTGGAAAGCCGTCATGTGTTGTCTTATCCTCGATAAAGCGTGGGTCTTTCTCCTTGATACTTAGGCCTTCAAATGTAAGCTGTCTTTCATACTTGTCACTAGCAATTCCCTTTCCATCTACCTCAGACAACTGGATTATAGGATTAAAAATTCAAAATTATAAGTAATGAGAATTTATGTTAAAACCATAATTAGGAACGTTTGTTTTCTATTCACTGACCTCGTTCTGATGTTCATTTGTTTTGATCGTAGATGTTTCATCAATCTGCTCTCCTTGTTTTTCACCTTTTGCTTTGTTTTCATCATGGCTCTCTTCTCTGACAGAATATGGCTCCGACTCTTCTGGAAGTTTCTCATCCTTCTTGATCTGTTAATTTACCCCAGGTTAATACTTTTGCTGTAACATATAGATAACTGCAGGAAAAGAGATACACGATGAATGAGTCCATATGTAAATATTACCTCTTCATTTGAACTTTTCCTTGGTACTTCTGCTTTAAGTTGAAGCTCAAAATCAGAAGCTTTGAGTTGCCTCGGCTCTTCCTTTATCAAGCTTGTCTCTTCCTCCATGCTTGTAGCTTTTACGTTCTCATCAACTTGCATTTGCAAATTGCTTGCGTTTTCTTCTATATTCTTGTCACAGAATGTAGTTCTATGCTCTTCAGAAGCTTTGATCTCCTTTTCTTCAGGAAGCAATATAGAAGATGGTATTTGAAGTTTCTCTGTTGATATTCCTTCATGGAGTGTCTGATCAGAAATGGCCTCATCCCTCGAAACCACGTCAGTGCTTGGAGAATCAGGTTCAGATACTGTTTCAGGAGTTTTCTTGATTTCTTCTTCAGTTTCGCCAGCATTCAGCTCTTCTGGAGCCAATTCAGAAACTTTGAGCTCCCCGGGCTCTTCCTTTTTCAAGATTGTCTCTTCGACTGACATTGCAGAAATTAAATCTCCCCCTTTTTCAGCAGCTGGCACTTCACTTTCACCTGCCTGACACTCCTTTTCCTCGGGAAGTGAAGTGTAAGATGGTAATTGAAGCTCCTCATTTGATATACCTTCATTGAGTGTCTGATAAGCAGTCGTCTCATCTCCCGAAACAACTTCAGCGCTTTGCGAATCAGATTTGGACACCTTTTCAAAAGGTTCTTTGATTTCTTCCGTTTCACCAGCATCCAGATTTTTTGGAGCCAATTCAGAAACTTTGAGCTCCCTGGGCTCTTCCTTTTGCAACAGTGTCTCTTCTGCCAACGTTGCAGCAACTAAATCTCTGCCATTTTCATCAGCTGGCACTTCTGTTTCCTTGGCATACTCCTCTATACTTTTGTCTTGGGTTGTAGTTTCACGATCGTCTTGATAAGTTCTGAGCTCCTCTTCCTTGGGAAGCAAAGCATAAGATGCCTCAAGGTGTGTTTGATCAGCAACAATTTCATCTTTCGAAACTGCATCAGTGCTTTGAGAATTGGATAAAGAGATTGTCTTAAAAGTTTCTTTGATTTCTTTTTCTGTATCACCTGCATCCAGCTTTTCCAGAGCCAACTCAGAAGCTTTGAGCTCTTCGGACTCTTCCTTTTGCAACGGTGCCTTGTCTTCTGACCTCAAAGCAAATAAATCTCCCACGTTTCCATCAGCTGGCACTTCCTTTTCGGGCTCTTCTTCTGTATCCTTGTCTTTGGTTGGAGTTTCATGCTCATGTTGAGAAGATTCGATCTCCTTTTCCTCGGTAAGCAATGTACAAGATGGTATTTCAACTTGCTCTTGTAACATCCCTTTGTCGAGTGTCTGACTAGCAATGATCTCATCTTTTGAAACTACATCAATGCTCCGAGAATCAGATTCAGGAACTATTTCAGAACTTTCTTTGAATTCTTCTTCAGTAGCATCAACATCTAGCTTTTCCGGAGCCAATTCAGAAACCTCTGCATGCCCTTCCTTCTGCAAGCTTGTCTCTTCTGTTGTCTTTTCAGCAAAAGAAGCTTTATCTTCCAAGTCGCAAACCTCTTTCGCATCTGGTACATCACTAATTCTGACCGGTACCTTCTCTTCTTCCGGTTCATATTTCTCTGAAGCCTCTGCTGAATCTTCTTCTCCTTTTGATGTTACCACCGCACTTGACTCGGTAACTGTGACCGCACCATTATTGTCATCAACTTCACTAACATCCTCCTCCTTTGAAGCTTTTGCTGAATCTTGACTGCTACCTTCTCCCGGCTGACCTTCTTCATACTTCACTGGTGAAGCATCCAAAATTTCTTCAGATGTTTCAACGATCTGATTTGTTTCATATGTGGTGCTCTCACCTACTCCATCAATCTCTGGCTCTTTGAGTATCTGTACAAAAAATAAGTTTATATTCAAAATAGACAAACAATAATCTCCCTAGAGACAAATTAAGCTTTATAAGCTGACCTCTCCTTCGAACTTCACTGTATCCTGTTTGTTATCATCAAAATTTTTGCTTCCATCTTCCGGAGTAAATTCTTGTGACAGGTCATTAGTATTGTATGCTTTTACGCTCTCGATACCACTGCCCTCTTTCTGTAAATTTTCTGTCTCTTTGTCACTGTCTTGAGAGTTCTTAGCAGTTTCTACTTGAATTATTTCTGGTGCACAAATTGCGGCATTGCCTTCTGTGGTTTGTCCTTCACTGAAATCGCCGTCAGTGCTCTTTGGCTCATCCAGGACCTGTTCTAGCAGTTGAGGCTTCACAAAGAAAAGGAAAAGTTAGAGAATACAAATTTAGCGTTTCTATATAAGTGTGCATGGGTGTCACATGCTTATAGTCATCATATTGTATATTACATACCTCTTCAACAATCATGTTCTTATTCTCGGGATGGTTTTCAGATTCGCGACTCTCATCTTCAACTCTCAATTTTGGTTCTGCTTCCTCAAGGCGTCGCACTTGAAGGCTTTCCTCAGCAGCCTTATCTCCCGCCAGCTCAGTGTTGTATTCACCTTCATCTGCTACTGTTGGAATCTGGTTCTCTGGAAACTCTTCTGAGTTAACATTTTCCAAGGTGGCTCCATCTGTTAAGATGGTTGTTAGACCCTTCTCTTCATGATCAATTTCAATATCTTTGACCTGCTCTTTGGTTTCTGCTTCAGCACCCTCCAAATCTGAACAGCCATCTTTCTCAGATACCTCAGACTGCAGCAAATTAACTACTTTACTGCTTTCTTCTGTGTGGGTTTCTTCCTCTGAAATATGAGCATACAGGTCCTCTTTTGGCTCTATACTGTCCTCTAACGTTTCAAATTTTGTTTCGTGTGTCGCATTTGCTCCCTCAACCGGCTCCTTACACTCCACATTCACTTCCTTTTCCTAGTATAATGTGTAAACCGACAATCTTAAAGTTATGATATAATCGAACAATCTAATAAACTTATTTCTACATTGTATGCAAGCTGACCTCTTCTTTCAGACTTGACACATAGTTTTCTTCTTGCTTTGAGCTTTCATTACTTGTATCGTCTCCTACCAGCGAAGAAGAGAGTTCTCTACTGGCCTGTTCATCTGAGTTCTTTCCAACAATATCTGTGCTCGAATCTGCTGCTTCAGATGACACCTAAATGGAAAAAAAGAGTTTCACAATTGGAGAATACTAAAATAGTGAGCATGTATTTCAGTGCACTTTTCTTTTTCATGTTCAAGTGAACCTGATATTCGTTCAAATTTTCTACAGTTGTTTCTTTATCATGGAACTCTTGAGCGTTGTCCTCTACTGTATGAATTTCCCGTGTTGCATGTTCTCCTGTTTCTTGTTCCGTACTTGCAATCTCAAACACCTATATCAGAGATGAAAGGATTATAAACTGTGACATAAGTTCCAAAAATAAAAGGTCATAAATTGTTTATGCTAATCTTACCTCCTCTACTTCAGTTTCATTTTCTTTTGTATCATTCATGGGTGTTGTCTCTTCCTCTTTTGTGCAGCTAACTACTTCGGCCTTTTTGCTCGATGATTCTGTCTTACTTTCTTCAGGCATCTCATCCGGCAATTTTTCATGCCCCTCTACCAGTTCATATTTCTGCACGGCCTGTGGTAAACCTTCTTCTTCATTTACGTCTGCACTTGCTTCTGTGACTGTGACTGCACCACTATCGCCATTGCCCTCTTCAGCCACTTTGATAGAAAATGTGTCCTCATTGCTACCCTCCTCCTTTGAACCCGGACTGCTACTTTCTCTCTGCTCGCCGACTTCATATTTCAACGGTGAAGAACTAACAATTTCTTCAGACCTTTCAGCAATCGTAGTTGTCTCGCATGTGATGCTCACATCTACTCCATCAGTTTGTGGCTCTTTAAGAATCTGCACAAATATAACTTATATTTTATATATAGACATACACATACAAAAAGAAAATTCATGTAGAGACAAAGTGTGCCTTATAAGCTGACCTCTCCCCCGGACTTCACTGCATCCTTTTCATCATCTTTCAACGCTTCACTTTCATCTTCTCGAATGTACTCCGGTGAGAGACCATCACCATTGCCTTCTTTTAAGCTCTTTATACAGCTTCCCTCTTCCTTTAATTTTTTCTTCTCATTTTCGTCTTCTTGAGATTTGTTAACTGTATCCTCTTCAATTGATTCTTGTGCAAAACTTGCGACATTACCTTCTACGATTTCTTCTTTGTTGAAATCTCGGCCTGTGATCTTTGGCTCATCAAAGACCTGTAGACATTGAATTTTCGTAAAGAATAAGGAGAGATATAGAAATAATTCTGTGTGTTCGTGTCAGATGGATACATTCATTCACATTTTCTATTGTGTACCTCTTCAACTATCGTGTTAGTCTTTTCAGGTTGATCTTCTGACTTGCAACTCTTCTCCTCGACTCCCACTTTCGGTTCTGCTTCTTCAAGAATTTGTACTCTAGGTGTGTCATTCAAAACTACATTTCCATGTGCTATCTTCCCTTCACCTTCATCAGATGCTGTTGTAATCTGCTCGTCTGAGAACTCTTTTGTGTCGGAATTTGCCTCTGCTTGCACATAAGCATCATCAATGTTCAAGGCCATTTCATCTTTCGAGATGGTTGGCAGAACCTTCTCTTCAAGAGCAATATCATTTTTGACCTGAACATCGTTTTCTGCTTCGGCCTCCCTCAAACGTGTTTCACCTTCCCCTGCTGCTGTTGGAATCTGCTCCTCCAGGTTCTCATTTGATTCAAAACTTTCATCTGCTTTTACATCAATATCTTTCAAGTCCAAGGATGTTTCATCTCTTAAGTTTGCTAGACCCTTCTCTTCCGGGGCAATCTCACTACATTTTATTTGCTCCTTGGTTTCTGCTTCGGCTTTCTTCACAAAAGTTTCATCCTCATCTGCTGCTATTGGGATTTTCTCCTCGAAGTCCTCTTTTGATTCAAAGCTTCTCTCTGCTTGTACACCAATATCTTCCACATCCAATGTTGCTTCATTTGTTGAGATGGTTGCTATACCTTTCTCTTCAGGAGAAATATCAGTATTTTTTATATGCTCCTTATTTTCTGCTTCAGCTTCATTCAAGAATGATCCGCTCTCATGTGGTGCAGTTGGAAACTGCTCCTCCATGTTCTCTTTTGATTCGAAATTTTCATCAGCTTTTACATCAATATTTTCCACGTCCAAGGATGTTTCACCCGTTACGATGTTTGCTAGACCCTTCTCTTCAGGAACAATATCAGTATATTTGACCTGCTCCGTATTTACTGCTTCGGCTTCTTTCAAGCTTGTTTCATATTCATCTGCTGTTGATGGAATCTTACTCTCCAAGTTCTTGCTCGAGTTGAAAGTTTCCTTCGCTTGTAAACCAATATCTACAATGTTCGAAGCCTTTTCATCTGTTAAGATGGTTGCTAGACCCTTGTCTTCAGGAGCAATATCACTATATTTTATTTGCTCCTTGCTTTCTGCTTCGGCTTCCTTCAAGAATGTTTCATCTTCATCAGTTTCGATTGGATTTTTCTCCTCGAACTTCTCTTTTGATTCAAAACTTTCCCCCGCTTGCACACCAGTATCTTCTGCTTCCAAGGGTGTCTCATCTGTTAAGATGGCTGCTACACCCTTATCTTCGGGAACAATATCAGCATATGCGACCTGCTCCTTAATTTCTGCTTCAGCTTCTTTCAAGCTTGTTTCGCCTTCATCTGCTATTGGCGGAATCTGCTTATCTATGTCCTCTTCTGAATTGACAGTTTTCTCCGCTTGTACATCAACATCTTCATGAGCAATATCAGCATTTTTTATCTGCTCCTTGTTTTCTGCTTCGGCTTCTTTCAAGAATATTTCACCTTCATCTGCAGCTATAGGAAATTGTTCCTCCAAGTTCTCTTTTGACTCAAAATTCTCCTTTAATTGTACATCAATATCTTCAACTTCCGAGGCCATTTCATTTGCTAAGATAGTTGGTCGACCCCTCTCTTCAGGAACAGTATCAATGTCTTTGTCCTGCATTTCGATCTTTGTTTCAGATTCCTTCAAAATTGTTACATGACTCAGTTCTCCAGACACAGATTCAGAATTGCTAGGTGTGGCGCCATCTTTCTCCTGAATATTTTTCTCAATCCCAGCCGCATATTCCTCAGTGGCCTCGTTACATGTTGCATACCCTTCCTTTCCCTGTTGTCGATATGAATTGTAAATTTGAATTTGAAAGATAATGCTACAATGCACTAATCTAAAATTTTGATATCGTATGCTAGATTACCTCTTCTTCTAGAAGCGTGGTAAGCGTGGTGTAGGTTTCTTCTTCCTTGGGATTTTGTTAGTTGCTTCTTCTACTACCAGCGGAGAAGAGAGTTCCTGAATGGCATGTTCCTCTAAGTTCTTTTCCTCTGCTGTTGTACTCAAATCAGCTGCCTCAGTACATGCCTAACATTGGAAGGAAAAGAAAAACACATAGGTTATGTACTTGGAGACGAAGAAAAAAGGACACCACTTTTGTAGGCTTTATGTTTGTGTCCAGATAAACCTGATGTTCCGCAGAGTTCCCTTCATTTGTTTCTTTATCAATGGAATCTTGAGGGGGTTCTGCAACAGTATGAATTTCGTGCACCACATGTTCTCCAGTTATTTGCTCTGTACTGGTAGTCTCAAGCACCTACATTAAAGATGAAACCGTCATGATATATAAGGAGAAAATAGACCGTTTGTGCCATTTAAAATAAAACATCATTTTTTCGCATGTTCATATCTATCAGTGATACGTTATGAATCCTGCATCTCGACCAATAACAAAACCGTGTAGGGAGAACTTGTCAGATGATAAGCCAGAAAGAAAAACTCATAAAAAAGTTTATTCGGATCTTACCTCCTCCCTTTCTGTGTCATCTTCTATTGTGTTTGTAATTTCAGTCACTTCTTCCTTTTCCTTATCTGAGGATTCTTGTGGATTCAAATTTTCCTCGTCGATCTGCTCCTTGGTTTCTGCTTTGACTTCCTTCAAGGATTTTTCACCTTCATCTGCTGCTGTTGGAGTCTGCTCCTCTACATTCTCTTTTGATTCGAAACTTTCCTCTGCTTTTACATCGATATCTTCGAGGACCAAGGGTGTCTCGGCTGTTGAGATGGTTTCTAGACCCTTCTCTTCAGGAACAATATCAATACTTTTCACCTGCGCCTTAATTTCTGCTTCGGTTTCTTCCGTGCCTCTTTCTTGTTCATCTGAGGTTGTTAGAATGGGGTTCTCCAAATTCTCTCGTGTAATGAAATTTTCCTCTGCTTGTACATCAATATCTTCAAGAGAAATATAAGTAGTTTTTTCTTCATCTGCTGCTATTGGAATCTGCTCCTCCTCGTTCTCTTTTGATTCAACATAGTCCTTTGCTTTTACCTCAATATCTTCGACGTCCAAGGATGTTGCATCTGTTAGGATGATTTCCGGACCCTTCTCTTCCAGAACAATATCCGTACTTTTTCCCTGCTCCTCCTTTTCTGCTTCGGCTTCTTTCAAGCTTGTTTCACAGTCGCCTGTTGGAATCTGCTTGTCCAAGTTCTCCTCAGAATTGACAACTTCCTCTCCTTGTCCATCAATATCTTCATGAGAAGCATCAGTATTTTTTATCTCATCCTTGCTCTCTGCTTCGGCTTCCTTCAGGAACGTTTCGCCTTCATCTGCTCGTATTGGGATCTGCTCCTCCAAGTTCTCTATTGGTTTGACATTTTTCTCTGCTTGCACGTCAGTATCTTCCAAGGGTGTCTCATCTGTTAAGATGTTTGCTTCCCTCTCTTCAGCAGCAATATCACTATATTTTATCTGCTCCTTCTTTTCTGCCTCGGCTTCCTTCAAGAATGTTTCACCCTCATCTGCTGCTGTTGGAATATGCTCCTCCAACTTCTCTTTTGATTCACAATTTTCCTCTGCTTGTACACCAATATCTTCAACTTCCGAGGCCAGTTTCATCTGTTAAGATGGTTGCTTGAGCCTTCTCTTCCGGAGCAGTATCAATATTTTCTTTCTGCTCTCATTTTCTGTTTCAGCTTCCTTCAAACCTGTTACATGACTCACTTCACCCGACACAAAGTCAGAATTGCTAACCTCCAGGCCATCTTTCTCCTGAATATTTTTCTCAGTTTCCGTCTCAGATACCTCAGCGAGAGAGGAAATATTTTCAACAAATGTGTCTGTTGCTTTCTTCTGAAATTGGAGCATTGAGGTCCTTGTTTGACTCTGTTATGTCCTCTGTGGTTTCAGGTAGTGCTTCACGTGTCATACTCTTTACCTCAGCGGGCTCGTTACATTCTGCATCTTCTTCCTTGTTCTGCAAGTGGATACCAATTGTTGATTGGAATTTGTAATAGAATACTATAATGTAACAATCGAAAATTCTGATATCATGCTAACCTCTTCTTTTAGAATCAAGTACATCGGTTTCTTCATCCTTTGGGATTTCCTTAGCTGTTTCTTCTACTACCAACGGTGAAGAGAGTTCCAGAATAGCCTGTTCCTGTAAGTTCTTTTCCGCTGTATTTATACTCAAATCAGCTGCCTCAGTACAAGCCTAAAATTTGAAACAAACGAAAGGTCATATACTTGGAGATGAAGAAATAGGATAGCACTTTCTGTAGGGTTTATATTTGTGTTCAAGTAAACCTGATATTCCGTGGAGGTTTCTTCATTTGTTTCTTTATCAACGAAATCTTGAGGTGGTTCTGCGACCGTATGAATTTCCCTAACCACGTGTTCTCCGGTTTCTTGTTCTGTACCGGCAGTCTCAAGCACCTGCATTAGCGATGAAACCATCATAAACTGGGATGACAGATCATAAACCAGACATAAAAACTCATAAAAAGCGTTAACTCCAATCTTACCTCGTCCCTTGCATTGTCATCTTCTAAATTGTTTGTGTTTTCAGTGGCTTCTTTCTTTTCTTCGTCCAAGGATTCTTGCGTGTTCTGAGTTGTTGTTTCCTCTTTCGTGCAGGTAATTTCTTCTGCATTCTCCCGGGATGTTTCTGTCTTAGTTTCCTCAGGCATCACGTCCCGCAAATGTTGAAGCTCCTCTCCTGAATCACATTTCTGCAAGGTCTGTGGTGAACTTTCTTCATAATTTGGTGTTACTTTCGCGCTCGTTTCTGTAATTGTGACTGGAATAGTATCTTCAGCCACTTTGGCGGTAAATGTGTCTACATCTTTGTCATCCTTAGTTGGGTTGGTACCATCTCCCCGATCACCTTCGTCACATTTCACAGTTGAAACATTAAGAACTTCCTCCTCCACCACTGAAGCCTCTCCTGTATCCAGTGTCTCGCTTTTTTTCAGTGTATCTTCCTCGCGTTTGGTGCATGGAATTTCAACCTGACATTCTGCATTTTCATCCTCCTTAACTGATTCACTTGCAGCGCTACTAGCTTCGGGAGTTTCCTCAACGGTTTCATATTGGTTCTTAACTTCTTTTGGACTCTCCTCAATGATATCTTCTGTTTGTGTGGGTAATGGAGTATCTGGGATGTTCTTCTCTTGGATTTCCTTTCCAAGTCCAGCTTTTTCTTCGTGTTCATCTAACATGGATGCACTTTCGAGCTTGTCCTCAGCGCTTTCTTTAGTTTCCAAGGTTACTTCAGGACCCTTTTCCTCATACACCATGGCAAAAGACTTCTGCGGTGGAATTTCATCCACGGAATCCTGTTGGTCCGAGATTACTTGAACGTGTTCATCAAGGTTTATCTTACTTCTCGATGCTTCCGCTGCTTCAGCATTTACAATGCCATTACTCTCAACATGTTGTTCAGACTTTTTCTCCGTTGCCTCCACGGCTTCCTTTTCTTCACTTCCTTTTTCTCCATTTTCCCAATCTGGAATCCCTGTTTCTGCTTGATTTGATTCATCAACTTGGACACTCTCCGCTACGCAGGTCTCTTGTTTGCCAACCTTTGGATCTGAGAGTGGTTCCAAAGGATTTCCGCACTCTGAGACTCCGTTCTTGCTTTCAACACGCGCCGTTTCACCCTCTACAAGGCATTTCACCGGTTCAGGATGTTGATCCTCCTGGCCTTCGGATTTTTTCAACTGTAATGGGGAACATTGGTCGACAGTTATGTCAAACTTCCCCGTTGACACATATCCGTCTCCCGCTTCTGTCTGCATTACAAAGGAATTGTTAATTTTTCATTAACTCCTATACTTTTCGTGTTTATTTTACAAAGAAGATGTTGCAAGAGATCATTCGTTGCTCAGCGAAATGAGATAAACTAACTGTCATACAACGAAGAATATCAATCTAAGCATGGAATTCGTAACTAGAATCCCCTCATTTCTCTGTTCTTTTTCGTTGCGCAGAATGTCACGGAAATTAAAGCTTCTATAAATACGGAAACTCCCAAGTTCCAATACATCGAAACTCATTGTCCATGGATAAAGAAAAACCGTTTCAAACATCAAAAACAACAAAAACCAGAGCAAACATATAAATAACATATTCTAAATTGTAACCGAGCATCTCCATTGGTTCCATTCCCGATCCATAACTCAAAAAGTTTTTAAGGTATTTGCTAATTGGGTTAAAACTCTGGAGATTAGAAATGACCAAATAGGAATAACACTTGATACTATCAGAACTGCCCAGAAAAAATCATATTCGTAAAGCAGAAACATAGACGTACTGTTACTAATGTGAAAAATATACCATACTAATCGATTCGAATTAACATAAACTGTAAAAGAATCCATAACTGTTTAGTCAAAACAACTATTTCCTAGATTCGATCTTTGATTATGAATCTAGAAATGGCAACATTTGTATTTTTCTATGAAAAAAAATGACTATATAACACTAATCTTAATCAAGAAATAAACAAGTTTAAGCATAACCATACTAGTTTACGTTGAAATTTTTCGCTTATCTACTTTCTATTTGGATTTAAACGTTTCTCTCTGACCATCGCAAAGCGGAGAGTCTTGTTGGCTTGGGGTGGTCTTTGTTTTTTATCTACGTTTCTATCTGGATTTCTTGCTCAAAAAACAAACTGGTGAAACTAGTAACACATGATCTTGCCTAAATAATATTTACGCACCACCGTAAGATAACACAGATCAATCTTTCGATTACCTGATTAAACTACGAAAACCATCGTATAAGATATAATTATATCCCACAAACAACGATCGATCATAATATTACATGAAGAAAAAAACACGGTATGTTAATTGACTAAGAGTGATGAAGAAACTGTACCGTGACGGATATGGATTCCGGAACATCAGCTTCCGTTGCCATCGGTGTTCTTCTGGATTCTGAGTCGCATGAAGAAAATTTGTTCTGATCAGAACTTCAAAAGCCAGCTTAAAGGTTTGCTGCTTTAAGTTGAATCCGTCGTGTGGGATTTAAAGTTGAAAGTTTGATAATTAGATATCTGTACTATTCACTTGATTGGTATATAGGAAAAAAGCAGCCAAAGAAGTGACAAAATTGCAACTTGATATATATAATATATACATATATATTAAGAAAAACTAATAAAAAATGACTTAAAACTTTGAATTTTAACGATATGGACAAAATAAAGGGTAAAGTGAATAGTATCAGGATTAACTTTTTAGTGTAAAAATATAATTTTTCGTTAAAATGAACAATATTGTGAGTTTTTTTTGTTAAAGTTCCATGTATAGTATGAATGTGTTCTATTGGTGTGAGTTGGCCACTAAGGCAATGGTCCTACTGCTACTGATTGATCGATCTCCCACATGGCCTTGTAACACTAATGCAGATTTTATAGAAGCTGTGGAAATTTATTGGGATCAATAAATTTTAAGGAAAATTAACGAAAATGGTTTGAAAATTTTGAGTTTTAACGATAAAGACAAAATAAAGGGTAAAGTGAATAGTACTAGGATTGACTTTTTAATGTAAAAATGTGGTTTTTCGTTAAAATGAACAGTACCGTGGGTTTTTCGTTAAAACTTCTTAAATTCTAAGGCTAATAAGATTGATTACAATGGCAAGCGTTGGCGCAACGAAAAAGTTGCTTTTTTAATACCTGAAAAGTCACGAGTTCAAAACAGCCCTTTTATAAAGCAAAGGTAAAATTTCTTACGATAAATGTCCGACTATAAAGAGTCTTGTTGACTTGTGATCGGTTTTTTCTTTAATAAGATTGATTAGGATATTTTAATCCACCTACAGATGGAAGCAGCCAGACTTCTTGACAGTTTCCTTTTTGTCTGACCACAGGTTTACAACTTTACAGCTCCCCAATCTGCGTAATACAACTTGCTTTTGCAGAAAATCTTATTTAAGGTGAATATTTATACTTGCTGTTGCTAAAGGAAGTTGAGGTGCGATATTTTTAGACGCCTCTTTTTTGTGGAGACTCAAGCTAAATATGTGAAAATGCATATCGGATGACTTTAAACATGTGTAGCACTTGAGCTTTATATCACGAAAGAAGTTGAGATTCTAACCTAAAATAAGAGTAACCCAACTCATTATCCTTCTTTAACTTTTTGATGCGGGACAACTCTTGACGTTTTCAATCACTTAGTATTATTACTATTGTTGATCATTGATTTCAAAATTACTTGACCTGCCAATTTAAGTTACATTCCAAGTCTAGTTGTGTATCATTCATGATATTTGAATTTTGAACTGACGAGGTTTTTCTAACAAAGTACTAAGTAGAGATTGGATGTCTAACCTGATCACTGTGATGGTTTAGCTGCAGACAGCTTTCGAAAGTTTTTGAAGTGCAAGTTGCACACATCAACATGGAAGATTACGTATGAAGTTAACAAATCGTCTTAAACTGAGTTATTTTAGTGAAAGAAAATATAAAAAAGCAGTTTTCCAGCAAGTGCTTCTGGTTGCCTGCTTTTATAATGAGTCCAAAGACTATATTCTCTCCAAGATAACGATCGTGATTATGATATTTAAACTTAAACACCCATCTGAAAATTTATGAAACAAATATAATATGAAGGTCCACGTTGGCAAGCCTGGAGGCCCTCTATGGCTCAGAGACTTGGAGATTTGAGCAACTCATTTTAAATTCTACGATTCTCGTTAGTTAATTTTACAGACCAACCTCAAAAATTTGGAACTCTCTCTCCCTCTCTTGAACGGTCCAAATTTCTCAATTCGTTGGCTCTGACTGCGAGATGCATAGATGATCTGAATTCCAAGAAACCATCTCATTGAATCTCAACATCCGATTGGAATACTAGTTTTGTTGTTAATTATACTGAGGGAGGTTGGTGTTATTAGGACAAAATTATTCAGTTATATCATTTGTTCCCTCAATTATTTTCCCTTTTGTTAAATCTTTTACTTATCACTTACTAAAGTTATTAGTGAATCGGAAGAAAGTTTACAGATTGAAATTGAAATGGATGGTCGATTAAAAATTAAGCAAATGTAATGAAATCAAAAACTTCAAAAAGAAACAAAGAAACCTATTTCAATTTGAGTTTAGTTTTCACTTTGTATGTCATTCGCCACGTATATTTCTTATTTTACATTTCTCCCATCCCTCTTCATCCATCGCTCCTCGGTTGTCCTCATGTCTTTTCCGTTTATTCTCTACCAACAAATGAAAGCAAATCGTTAGCAATATTTGCATCATTCATCTTATCTCTAGGAATTTTACAGAATTACCATAATAAGTATAGGAGTAAAACTTCGATAAAGCTGTCTGACTATACCAATTCTCAGTTTTGGTGGTAAAATCAAGTAATATCAAAACACATAAAGTATCATGTTTTCACAATAGATGACTCATAAATGACGTGATCTGATTGTTCTAACACAAGCTTTGGCCTTTTGGACCATAAACCGAAAGAGTATCGGGCTGACGTGGATTTTTTTTGGTGCATCATCCAGCTCGATGATCTGTACTGATGACCATGTACACCGTCCAAATAGATAGAATAATTGTGTCAAATTAAAATTGCTCAAGAATTCAGATAGTATACCTAACTTTGTGTTTGGATATGAAAATTATCATAAAATTACAAGACAACAATCTCCATCAAAACCGACCCAATAAAAGCATAGGATTGCTTTCGTTCGCCGCCCCTATGTGGATAAGCAAAAGGAGATAGCAACTTGGGTGTACTTGTTCGAATTAGACTTCAAACGGGTTGTGTTTGTTGTGTTCATGTCATTTTTGTGTCATACTTGTTATTTTAATAGAAATATCATTTCAAACTTATCTTAATAGGTTTTAACAAGTGATTCGACAACGACTTGATTCATTATCGTAACGTGTCGTTTCATGTTGGGTTAACGGGTCATACAAGAAATTGTCGTGTTTAATATCTAGATTTGACAAACGATATATTGTCGGGTAACAATCCAACTCGTTAACAGAGTTGATCCAAAACCTGTTATTTTCATATTATTTCATGTCGGTTTAATGGGTCGTATAAGAAATTGCTAGGCATATATTCCACAAAATGAATATATATATATATATTTATATGTCAAGAAAAATAACGTTATTATTTTACACTTTGACCACTTCTTCCGGAAGAAACTTGCGGCCTTGCTTATGGTATGCAGCATGCTTATACGTCTTACTTTAAAATGCTTTGAAAATGTTTAAATGAAATTAAAAAATTCGTATTACAAAACAAAAACATTACTTGTTGGCTGAAATAGTTGGAAGTAAGAGATTTTACGTACAATATTGTATGTCATGCATTTCACATCCAACTGTAGTTTTTATTTCTCTACTCAAAGTGAAAACAATGAACTCGTCATTTCTGAAGATTAAAGAGTGTTTGATTATTATACATTGTTCTATAGATGCTGCGAGCAATAGTCCATGCATTTATAACAATAATTCAAATCGAATTACACATTGTGTCATGTAACAAAAGAGATATAATATTCTTGTATTGAATGTTACCAAAATCACCATAAAAATGAAAACCCTAGGACTTAGGTATTGTTCAAATAAGGAGGTCAAACCGCGGTCAATGTCGCCATATTTAGGATGTACTGTCCAGGTCCAACCAAACTCAAGAAGAATTAGTGTCACGTCACAAGTCACCAGTCACCAAGCAAATGCTGCCCCATATCCGACGGCTACCATTCTCTCCACGGCTTTGAGCTGACGAGCAGTGATGTGGATCAGCATCGTCCAAAGAAAAACAAAATGTTGTAGCCGGTAAAAGATGAGATCAAGCGCAGCGATGGGCCAACTGACACTGCCTTCTGCGATATCCGATTGGCCAGAGGTTATGTGGGCCCACTACGTAAGACGCACGTGATTTGAGTTGGGTGGCTGAGGTGGCTGGCCGCCCATGGAGGGCCCCACACCTGGCATCGAAGAAAATCTCGCCTCTGATTTCTCCCGTATGCGAGTAAATCATGTGAATGGAGTTTGGCGATCATCCAACTGCAAATCAGCATGCATAATTGTTTGCTAATTTTCTAAAAATATTGATAGTAACAAGGAATGTAAAACTGTGGCTTGTCATTAGTTGTTTTAGTTTATTTTTATTTTTTTTAAAAAGCCAAGTTCTTTGCTAATTTCATAATGGAAGTAAAGATTGTCAACTAGACTAAATTTATAGTGTAGTTGTAAAGTGAATCAAACTCCACACCGACACAGTGTTGAAAAAGCTATTATGATGTGTTGTAGATAAAGAGGAAATTGAACTCATTCCAATTCTCGTTTCCATGTATTCACTAAATTATAGGTATTTGAATTATTCTAATTTATAAACATTTACTAATATATGTAGAACCGAAAAAGCACGTCTTAAAATACGTAATCAAATACTTGTAAAATCAAGAAATATGCCAATAAAGAGGCCAAGCTGATTCGTACACATGCATTATTTTTCTTTTCTTGATTCATAACTCCCATTTGAATTAAGTAAATAGATGAATCACACTCGACAACCATTCGCCATTGAAAACGCTACTTATTCTGCCTTTTGAGTTTTGACTATTTAATTTTTCTTTAAAATTTTTGTAAAGCGGTCTGTTATGAGAAAAGAACTCCATGCAGTTGTACTAATTGACATTATCTCAAATCAATTATATAAATAATTATACATAATTAACTTGAGATGCTGTCAGCGCGGCACTCGGCCAACATGAGGTGTTCCCTTTTTGGACCTTACCAGATAATTCAACCAAAAGGCTGAACTGAAGTCTGAAGCCTGCTGATTTTGGCCCAGGCCCAGGTTAAGGTTGGTCAGAACCAGACAATAAATAGTACACCGTTGATTTAACCTTAACACGACGACGTTCCATATGCCGGTGATTGTGCACTGACAGGCCAGCACCAGTCCCCAGAAAGTAATAATTCTTAACAAGGGCAAAACCGTAATCTCACAGTTCAACCCATAGCGGGAAAAAGAGCCGTTGGTAACCAAACCTCAAAACTTTGGGCGCCAAAATCCATTTCACTCGGTTTGGGGCTGCCCGCAAAATCCCGGGCAGCTCTCTCTTTCAATTCCCACACTGATTAGCCTTGTTTTAACTTTTGCCAATACATATACATGTATCTATATATATATATATACATCTTTATTCCTCAGCACAAAAGCTCTTTCTTTCTAATTTATTTTCTCTCTCTAAAAAACTTTTGTTTTCAATCAAACCGTCCAATTTCCCTCCTCTTTCTCTCTCTCCAGCCGCCTTAAAAGTCTTTAGCTTCCTCAAAGAAGAAGAAGCAAAGACCCTTTTCTCTCACTCTTTCTTCCAATCTTTCTCCCTCCGATTCTCTCAGCTTGTTCTCTTGGTTTGTTCCGATTCCCAGATCAAAACCCATCTTTTTTTTACTTGATTTGTTCTGATTCTCGCATCAAAATCCCACCTTTTTTGCTCTGTTTTGGCTGGATTTCCGCGAGGAAAACAGCTTCAGAAACTGAGACATGGGTTTTTCGAAGAAGTCCCAGGTCGCGGACGGAGGCATGGAATCCGAAGGGAAGAAGTGGGTAATCGCCGGAATCTCAGTCCGGACTTGCTTAAAGCCAGTGAACACGAAACCGGCGAGGGGGAAAGAGAGCGACGACGGAGAAGAAGAGGAGGCGTATTCGACAACCCCAACAACGAAAGAAACAAGAATACCGGAGATATTTTCGTGCCCGCCGGCGCCGAGAAAGAGCCGGCCTCCTTCCAGATGCAACTTCAATGGCGTGAAGGAGTTTTTTACTCCGCCGGATTTGGAAACGGTGTTCAAGCTCCATGTTGAGAAAGCAAACTGAGTTCAATATTTAGGCTGCCAAGAGCAAAGAATTAGAGCAGAGATTAGGAGTTTTTGCTGTGGTTTTACTTTTATTTATTTGTCTTAGTGAATAGTGGGCTGTTGGTCTGTCTCTCTAAATCCTGGCGCCGCTCAGCAGAGCAAAAGCACCTGTGTTGTACAAAGATGAAATCTTTTATGTAATGGTTATTTTCCAGATTAGTTTTTAGGTCAAGTTTTTATTCCCAGAGAGAAGCTGAGTTCATAACTTCATATATTTTGACAAGTTTTAATTTATAATTTTTTTGTTCTAGTTCATAACTTCATATAATATAATGATTCGTTAATTCATTTGGTACATTAAACTATACTGGCTAATTTTAGTTGAAAATTGCAATATTGGTAATAACGCTGACTCTGATTACTATGGATTATCATAAAACTCTTTAATGTTGAATGTTTGAAGGGAATTGTTATTAGCATTTTAAAATTTTCATTTTGTACTTTAAACTTTTTATAATTAAAAAAAAATACACTTATGATGAGTGTTGTGACATCCCATATCGTCCAGGGGAGTGATCTTTTTATGTATATTCCTATCTCTACCTAACACGAGGCCTTTTGGGAGCTCACTGGCTTCGGGTTTCGTTGGAATTCTGAAGTTAAGCGAGTAGCGCGCGATAGCACTCCCATGATGGGTGACCCACTGGGAAGTTTTCGTCTGAGTTCTCAGAAACAAAACCATAAGGATGTGCTGGGGTCCCAAAGCGGACATATTGTGCTACGGTGAAGTCGGGCCCGGGAAGTGGTCTGCCTGAGCCAGGATGTGATAATTTGGTATCAGAGTCTAACACTGGTTGTGGTGTGTCGATGAGAACGTCGGGCCCCTAAGGGGGATGGATTGTGACATCCCACATCACCCAGGCGAGTGATCCTTATATGTATATTCTCATCTCTATCTAACACGAGACCTTTTGGGAGCTCACTGGCTTCGGGGTCCGTTAGAACTCTGAAGTTAATCGAGTAGCGCGCGAGAGCACTCCCATGATGGGTGACCCACTGGGAAGTTCTCGTGTGAGTTCCTAGAAACAAAACCGTGAGGGTGTGTTGGAGGCCCAAAGCGGACAATATCGTGCTACGGTGGAGTCGGACCCGGGAAGTGGTCCCGCCCAGACCGGGATATGATAAGTGTAGAATGAGATTTTTAGAATGACGAAAATTCAAAAATGGATCACACAGAAATGCTAAATATTTTTAGTTAAATAACTCTGCAAGTGAAAATCATTAAATATGTTTTAGTTATTATTGTTTTCAAAATTTTAAGCTACTGTAGTTTTTGAGATTGCTAAACATGGCAGCTGGCAGCCTGCAACAACCAGAAGTGAGCTCTCTCACTGGTTTACATGGATGCTGAATTTAGTGAAGCTGAAATAAACGGCTGCCAGAGTGAATCTCTCTCTCTACCCCCCAGAAACAAATGAATGATTGGCATTTGAGCAGAGATATTTTGAGCTAAACTGAGAGATGGCTGGGAAACTAGCTAAGCCTGTGCCTCCAATACCTTCCTCTTTTTAGTGCACAAACACACATGTACTGTATGCGTTGAGGGTCATAATTCCTACCATACACTTGTATGTCTAGCTGGTTGAGTAGCTAAACCTGTGTACGACGTCTGTTCTTTATAAAAAAGACGGATTATTGATAATATGTCAATACGTTTTGTTATTAATATATTGTATGCTAAACATTGTTGATAATAACAAAGAATGAGCATATTGTTGAGAGAAAAACTGGCTGAAAACCCTAATGTTTGCCCAAAGCATGTAAAAGTAAATCTTTTTCATGGCTGAGATGCTACAGCTGCTGCACGGATGCTTTGATTTTCAACTTCAAGTATCTTTTTAATTCCATGCTCTGCTTTTAATCTGCCAATCAGATGTCCCCACCTCACCTCGAAACCCTATCTCCATGTAAGGCTTCTTTCACTGTTAAAGACAAAGCACAATACAATATAAGGTGATAGATTAGAATCCTATGTGGGGCTGGAAGGCCTAGTTTGGTAGAGCTTCAAGTTAAACGTTTTCGGCACTTGATGACAAAGACAAGTTGTCGATTTGGTGTACTCTTTTTGGATAAGGTTAGGGCATGTTTATCTTGCACCCAAACAACCCATTTTTTATGGATTAGGGAGGATATGCTTTTGCATGATCAGGGGATTTGTTTAAAAACGTGATTAAGCGAGATTAAACAAAGGGGTTCTAGGGATTAGAATCCTTTAGGTTTTTCTTTTGGCTTTTAAAGAAAGCGTACAACAAGTTTTAGTTAAAAACAAGGAATTGAGATCCTTTTGGGATATCTATGTTCGGAGTTTAAGGATTAGGAGATCAAAGCCATTGAAGAAAGAGAGATTCAAACTCTTGATTTGTGTGAGGTAAACCAGTGAAATAGACTAATAAGTGTTATAGTATTTAAAATAAGTGGTATGAATCTCCTAATCTTGGACTTCGAACTCAGAAATCCAGAGAGGATCTCTATTCAAAATTAAGGTCCTATTTTTGTTTTGATTGGGGACATTTTTCGGATTGGATAGACATCTTAGCGGTGTAGTTAGACTTGGATGTCACATGAAATTGATTGTTTATTAGGGTTTTTCTAATGAGAAGTCAGATGGTTAATTTTGACTTTCTGCTTTTCTTTTTTCTTTTTTGGTTTGTATTGTTTATTGGATATTACAAAGATGCAATACTTTGATTCACTGTTTTAAAAGTCTCCGTTTAGCGCCGTCTAGACGCTCGGTGGCTGATCACCCCCTATTAATGCCTAGGTATTTGAAAATTAAGAAATGACGCCTAGACCTGTTGAGGCGCCCGCCGAGCTTGCCCAGACCTGCCTAACTTGCGACTCACTTAGACAGAAAATAGATAACTTTAATTTTACATTTTATTTTTTACAATAAAATTATTAGGGACTTGTTGTATACTTAAATGAACACACATTATATGTTTGTTCCCTATGTTTTCATTATGTTCCAATACTTCATAATATATATATCATTCTACTTTGTAGTTTGTGATGAAATTATATATATTTTAAGTATAAACAAACACTTCTATGCACGAAATATAATAGATTTACTTAAATCCACTTAGTCTGCTAGGCCCCAACATATCGTCCGACTAGTGTCTAGCGTCTTTTAGAACCTTGCTTTGATTGCATGCAATTCTCAAGAATATTTCTATATGGATTTTGGAGCAGTTAGAATTTGTAACACCAATATTGAAACCACCATTTTGTATGGAAGTGGACTCACTCTCTTTCATTTTATCTTTGAAAATTTAACGTAAAACCTTGATTGTTTACAAATTTAAGCGTAATTAAGTTGATTTAAATAGTATGCGCTCACAATTCTGCATTCAAATCCCTCTTTAATAATTTATATAAAATTAGAATATCGCTTTGTCCCAAAAAAAAAAAAAAATCTTCAGTAGTGTCTAGAGGATGCATGTGTCGTTCCTTCAATAAATACTTACCATCCCTAGAACATATCCCCTCTCTCCCTTCCTCGCTCATCAATTGAAAGCGATAGGCACGGGATGTACTCCCGTCACATGCGAGTTTTTCTCCGCTTCTTCAAATTCACAACCTGCTTGTAAATTGTAATAGCACCAAGGCAAACAATCATTTTCAAATGGGGCAATTTGCAGATCTCTGAGATAAAACTGTTCACGAAATTGGAATATAGACCTGATGAATTGGACTTGTGCTTGTCCTCATGGAACAGCACTAGCCATGTCCTTATCCGGCTGGCTAGCTAAAATCCTCGATTTCTTGTCTGCGAGGATCGAAATATACATCGTCTCCTTGGAAGAAGACAACATGAAAGTTGCTTCTCAGTCTCCACAGAATTTTAGTTCAACTAATTAAAGTGATTGACCCTTTTTAATTGTCACAAATATCTTAATTAGGGTTTGAAACATCATTCAAATTCCACTTTCAAGTCTTGCTAGCCAGACTAAACTATTTATTTCTTCTCGTTATGGTCAAATTAGTGATGGTTTGTCTCCTGATCAACGATATAATTACTTTCTTGTTGTTGATTTAAGAGAGTTTCTTAGTCCCTATAACGAGAATTTTTTCAGTGTGACCGGCACACAAGGTGGTACACCATGTGTCATTATACAAATTGTGGGATATGTGTGTTAAAAAGTTAATAACTTAAAAAATAAAATTTCCCACCACTTACATAAAAACACGTGGTGTACCACTCGTATTTCCATCACAATGAAAATTTTCTCCCCTATAACATCGTTTGGTGGTATTATTAGTTCAATTACTGATAGAAAACTGCTATTGGTATTAAAAAAAAAAATCTCATTTCGCATTTCTCATAAGTATATATTTCTTTTTAAATAAAGAAGTTTGAGGTGCAAAATGAGAATTTTGATGTGCTGATAACAATTCTCTTACTGTTATACTAGTCTTCGTATTTCAAGACTTCGTTTCGTAACATGATCGAACTTGAATGGGATAAGACACTATTTTTAAGGTACAGGAAAGAAGAAAAAAAAAAAAAACATTGTGATTAACTTAACGGTAGGAGAAGGATTACTCAAGTAAAAAAAAGTATCCATTCCAATCCTCTCAAAAAAATGAGAGAATTAGAAGAAAGAAGTTTTCTACACATCCAATCCTTTTTAATCTCATAGAAACGAAGAATCGTTCTCATTTACCTTCATTGTGCCTTGAAGAACTAAAGTTATTCCTTCCTATCCGATCTGTTATACCAAACGACCTCCACAATAGTTTATGAGCGGTAGAGAATAATTGTTCCATGAACCATGCTTCCAAGGTAGTCAAAAGTTGGTTTGAGCTCCTTAAAATTTGATTAGTAAAGAGCACATGTGTTAATCAAAATTTTTAATTATTACAGAAGCATGTATGCATTACCGAAACACAAGATCAGATAGATCTTCGAAGGGCTAAACAAATACACTACCCATGTGGGCTTCAACCAAAATACCAAAATATAATGCATGGTAGTTAGTGAAACATAGCACTAAGCATCATAAATTATAATTAATGATAATTAATTATTCAGTCTACTATATGTATATAGTAATGGTTTTTTTTTTTTGTCGAGCGTCAAATTTTCATTGAATCTAAGACGAATATCAATGTTTTCTCATCAATAATACTAAGCAGAATTTTCGAAAAAAGTAAACCCTATTTGTGATTGCCCCATTCTGTTTACCAACGAAGCCATCGAGTGAGTTACCCTGTTGCAAGCTCGAGGCACGTAGGAAAGCTCAACGGACTCCGCTTCTGTCGCTAGCTTTCGAATGTCATAAATAATGCTATCAATCATGATATCTGAATTGTTTCTCTCTTAAGCATACTAATCTGAATAGTTTTCTCTCTTAAGCATAGTAATCAAATTACTTGAATCGGATTTTATGATCGCCTTTTTATAATTTCTGTCGTGAGGGAGGGCAACCAGGTTAGGGGGTAGGAGATAGGGTTAGGGTTGGGTAAAAAGAACGAAGGAATCCAATGAATGGAAAGAAAGGTGGTAAACACGTACACATGGTCCTTCCAAGGAATCCTAAGACCATCTCAAGATTCTAATCCTAATGTTTTGAATAATAACTTTTTTTTAGGACATACGATATTATCTACATTACAAGATGAAGGGAGTGTTATAAGCTTCAAAATGAGTTACCTTTAATAGTAGAGTTTGAATTCGCCTGAATTAAATCTAAGATCTTTTACTTTCAAGTGAAGATGAATAACATGAGACAATAGTACTAAGTAGTTAGAATAGTAACGTTAAACCAACTTTTCTCAAATTTGCAAAGGGTCTACACACCCATTTTACATTTCACATCCCTCTTAATTTTCGATCATCGGGTCAAATAAATTGAAGAAAATTCATGACGAAAATTATAAAAGTATGTGTGAGATAAAATCAGATATGTGAAAATAGCACTACCTTTACAAATTACATAATTACTAAATATTCATTTTTTTTTCCTGCAATTTTTAATTAATTTTATCGAATTTCGTTCCGTTTGGCCCGTTGGCCCTCACAAGCTTGACTTGTTTTCACGCGGTTTCAGCCGGCTCTTGCCCACCCCAATGTCCCCAGCAGAGAAGAGAGACCCAACCCGCCATGCTGCCTGCCCGAACTGCCCGACAATTTTGGCGGGAACTTGCCCCTTTGAAAACCACCAATTTTTTTATTCATTTATTTTCGCGCCAAAAGTTTTGATGCCCCGCTAAACGTGAGAGCCGTGTGACGGCTAGATGCTTTTTCCTATGTTTCTCCAAGCTGTCACAGCACCGCTGATTTTGTGTTGGGTCCCACTGATACCAATTCCTGACCGTTGAAAGATTTGGTCTAAAAATGGGCCCCCGTGTGCACTGGTCCAAAGGGCCTCATTTAGCTGAAAATGGCCCAAGATCATGTCCAGTCATGGTCCACAATGAATTTGACTAAAAGATCCATCCCATATTTGGGCCAAGGGCAGCCTCAATTGGCAAGCTAGCCCAGGGCCGAATATTTCAAAGGGCTCACTGGTATGTCTGTGCGTCAGTAATTTAACGGTTTATGTAACTGGATTAACGGAGATAAGACACAAATAATGAGTACATTAAGTACAGTGGATTAATATGACTGACTTTCCTAAAAAGTAACAAAACCTTCTTATCAATATGGAAAACATGCACTAAAAAATATCACCTACTCCTCTACCAAGTGGTCGAATTCAGTTTGAATTATCTTTTTAGCGATAGTTGACTTGCTTGCTTACAAAATAAATGTACCGTATTTACAAAACAAAAAAAAAATATTACGAAACAAAAAGTCTCGCATCCATAACGTGTAAAAAATTGCTCACTTTTTAACCGAATCGAATCTAATGTAATTGACATTCTTTCATATAAGCACTATTGAAGATGGAGAAATCAAACTCGAGACCTCAAACGGAAGGGCGAAGTGCTTAGCCCATTGAGCTGCGACGAATCCGTTGATTTACAATTTTTTTTTTTTTGTGACCAAACCCTCCATTTACTCATTAATGACAAAATTCTGGTTGGTTGGCTTTATAAAAGTATCCGTAACAGTTTAAGCGGTATGTCCCCACAATACACACCTACCGCGACAATGCGCGTGCTGGTTGTCACTGCGAGGACTCCAGATAAAATCCAGGTATTCAAAACCCTAAATCCCCAATTGTCCAACTTCCCCAAATCCTGATCTCCTGCGATCCAATTCGTACAGGAAAGAGGTAACTACACGATTCTGGGTCTTGCATCCTTTTGTTTCAGATAAACTTACATCTATAATATGTGTGTATGTATAGGTCGCCGTGAAGTGAAATTTACGGTAACTAAGCTTTTATGCCGCTCAATTGTCACTAAAAGATAGTATCTTTGACTGATTTCTGTTTCCCTTTGAAATGAATTCAACGAATTTTGAAGCTTTTAATAGCCGAAATAGGATTCGTTTTGGCATACGATTGCTGTTGTATATAATGTATCTGATTTCCTTTAAATTTTGAATATTTGTAGGTAGATCATGAAGCGGAAACAAGCATTCCCGGGAACGGGAAGGGGAAGGCCACGAAAAAATCCGGCTCCGGGTGTGGTCAGTGAAAGAGTGGTCAGTGAGAGAGTGGTCAGTGAAAGATTGGTCAATGAGAGAGTGGTCAATGAGAATGAGAAAGCGTTCTTGAGTTTTGTTAACCAGAACGTTGAAGAAGAAAGAAATGATTTTGGGTGGAATCAATCTGATGATGAAGACCGTGATGATGAGGATTGTAACCCTGAATTGGAGAATGATTCGGTTAGTGATCCTTCTTCAATGGAGAGTGACTGGTCAGATGGTGATCAAAATGTAAGCACTGTGGTGCAGAACTTGCTTAGCAGGTATGGTGAAGGTGATCTCCAGATGGGAAACTCATCCAACCAGAACGATCACGCACAAAATATGCCATTGACCGTCTTAGGTTCTTGGAGTAGAGTCCAGAATGAGCAAGTAATGCCGTTGCAGGATCCTCCCTGTAACAAGAAAGAATTGAGTGCTGCCTTGGCGGTATGATATATATTTTGTAACAGGTTTCCATATCGTTTTGGTTTACAATTTCGGGCTCTGCTTGTATAGTCTTTTCTATATTCTTATGCTTAATGTGATTGAACTTACTAGTTACTGCTGTTCTTGAACGATTTTACATTTTAGGTCATTAAGAAGGTTATGAAAATGGATGCAGCTGTACCTTTCAACACTCCCGTGGATCCAGTTGCTATGAGATTACCTGTGAGTGTGACTTTCGATATGCGTAGTCTTAATCTTTTTCTTAAGTAATAGCATGACTCGGTGATCATTTTGATGTACCACAATCTGGTGTCTGTCTTCTTTTTGTGTGTAAAAAAGTGAAATAATCCCGTATCTCTATTGGGGTATTAAGAGCTTCTAAGAGGGGATTGCGGCTTTTAGCATCAAGTATATCAAGGTACCATGTCAAACATGTAAAAAACTTGCCTGTGGTAACAAACTTGACTACCATTAAGCTTGGAAATTTAGTGGAAAATTGACCCGAGTCTTTTGTTTTGTCCACCGAACTATGACTTAGCTATCTAGGTAGTAGGTATACAAAATGAGTTCTTGGTAATCACAATATAATGCTGAACGCCGTTATGCATGTCATATGTGTTCTGAAATGCGCTGTTTCCTTTCGATCATGATTATTTCTCTGCCTTACTGTTTTATCTTCTCTTTTGTTTCTTTTTGTCCTTTCTGGAACCAGGATTACTTTGATGTCGTAGATACACCAATGGATTTTGGAACTATATGCAGCCATCTTCAAAATGGTACCAAGTATATGAATGCGGAGGATGTATTCAAGGATGTCCAATGCATTTGGAAGAACTGTTGCAGCTATTACAATGAGGGTAACTTTGTTTTGAACCTTATGAAACGCGTGGAGGAGAAATTCATGAAATATTGGACAGCTGCTGGTTTGTGCAGTAAAGAACCCGGGGCAAGTAACCGTAAGGGTTTCACATTACTTTTATGAATGTATAACATTACCAGTGTGGGCTACTATCATTTTTGTTAAATTTTTGATTAGATTCTTTTTAGTTTTACTAAGCTCTAATGTGGGGAAAAGGAAGACGCGAGGACCTACCCGTAACCTTAGACTAGCTCAACTTCCTATCGGGGAAAGATTTGAACTCAGCTGGAAGAACCGGAGACCCGTAGGTCAAACCACCACTTTCTTCAAATCAGAGTGTACAGCCCTGGTTAGGCAAACCCGGGAGATACCCCTACAGGTTAAGTCATGGAAGGAAATCCCATCTGATATTAAACAGAAGGCATTTGAACATATTTTGGTTAGTACAACAAAAATCATAGAATTGGTTCACACTGTAACAATTGATTTTCCCTTGAATCCCATTTTGCCATGTTTATTGTGTAATATATCTTCATGTATGTTTTTCAGAAGCGTTTCAAAGTCGAAGATCACATGAAATGGGTTTTGGATCAGATTCATAGATCCTACAACAGTTATCGGCATCATCTGAAGACGACGTGGTTTGAAACATGTGAGACGACTGAGGAAGCACGTGAAAAAGTACCACCAAATGTTACAGAGGAGGATTGGCAGTATCTTGTAAACTTGTGGACCTCACCTGAATGGCAGGTACTACCAAATGTTAGATATCATGATATCAAAGAAGATAACAAGGGGAAAAAAAAAATCAAGAATTACGTTATTCCCTATTTTCCTTTCAGTTATCTACTCTGTAGTTAGATTGTTATACATTAATGGTCCTTTCCTTGAATGCAGAAAATCAGTAAGCAATACAAGGAGAATCGTTCCAAGAATACCATAATTCACACGTGTGGGTCCAAGAGTTTCTCGCAAGTCCTCGAGGAAGAGGTATGACCTGTTTCACTTACTGCATCTTGTGTTTAGTAATATTTTACTGGCATTCTCATCTCTCTTCTTGTTTTTTGGTTGCAATGGCAGAAAAAGAAGACTGGAAATGAGCCTGGCCGTACACTTTTCTGGGAACGCACCCATGTTCGGCCTGATGGACAGGCTCCAAATCCAGCTACACAGGAGGCATTGGTATATATTGAACCTGTAATTAAACTAAAGCTGCAAGCATGCCTAATTATTAGTTATTTTAATACGTGTGTTGAGTTCCATTTTGTGAACGCAGTCAAAGCTCAAGAAATTGTATGCTCAAATGGCTGCGGAGAACTCACAGATGACAGAAGACGAGATTTTTGTCAAGGTTTTTGGACCTGAGCGTCCCTCGAGATTACGTGGTTACGGTGGTGTAACCCCAAAAGAGTTATGGGGAACACCGTCATCGTCATCGTCATATACTGTTAGTGAACTCAAAAGGCAACTTGAAGAAGCAAAGCAGCGACAAGAAGAGTATGAACAAAAGAGTGCTGCTGAGATACAGGGCTTGAAAGAGCAATTTGGTCGTCTTGAGGGTTTGCTATCAGATCAAATGAATAGGTTTGAAGGTTTACTAGTACAGTTGACGAGTCATATGCAGCCCCCTTCCCCGATCGAGAGGCCTACTGGAAATCTACTCACCCGAAATGGTATGCATCTTTGAACACTGACTTTCTATTTTCTTACGAGTTACTTATCATATATGTTTTCGCGGAAATATGGATATATTGAAGCACGATTCATTTGCATTAAGAGTTTTATTTTTTCTTGTTTGTTAAAAGACTGATAGGGAAGAATAGGAGTCGGGCACCACGAACGTATCAACTGCTTCATAATTCCTAATTGACAAACAGTCCAAAGTAGGATGCGTTTATGTCTGTTTTTTTGTTCAATGACCTAAAATGGCTTTAAAACTCCGGTTATATGCACATTTAGGGACATGAAATTCGACATCTCAAGAGGCAAACTTTGCAACGGTCTCTTAACGTATACATTGGTCTTTTTTTTATATATTTTTTCTCCATTTAGCTATTGTTTACACTGCATAAACTCGAGTTTATATCTGAGATTTTTCTCTTGGCACTCAATTCATACGGTGTTGGAGGTCGTAACTATGATTGTTTGCGTTCTCTATTCTCAGGCCATTCACGGAGTTTCCGATCCAGAAGATGAAATCTCATCACTTATCAGCTATGCTTGTGTCCTGTTGGGTCAAATAAGGCTGTTAGCGGAAATTCAACCTAGATACCGCAGCAATGGAGAAAGGGTTGGCGAGCGGTCGCCGACGGCCACCATGGAGAGCGATGAACCAATGACCCTTTGAATAGACTTAGATTTCACTAAAATCTTGATTGAATGAGTTCTCTGATCAATATCGACCAGAGAACAACCATGTTTGCTTCCCAAGCAGGTCGTGTATTTCAAGAGAAAAACTTGTGTAGGAACATCCGGACCACGTTTGCCGTTGGACTGCTCTCCTTGCAAAACTTAAATCATTTGTTGTTAATTTGTTGAGTTTTCGAATCCATCCAACCAACCAACCAAGAGAATGACTTTTAATCCAGAAATCCAATCAAATGGGAACGACTTTGCATCTTTAAATGCATCCATACAGAATCAACCAACCAACCTAACTAAAAAACAGCCGGAAACTAGGGGAGACGGAACCACCTAAGAACCCGAAAACAGAGTCTTACACAATCAGTGGCTGCACGATCAGGGTTTAGGAACTGAAACAGATGCTCAGTTATGCATTTTGAAACGTTCAAAGAATTCCCGATGAACTATTTACAAGCACAAGCATGAGACTATCAGAGCCGGATCAAAATTCAGCTCGAAAAGTAAACTTCGCGGCATGTTTCATCCGCTCTTCACTAATCATTCGAGGCCAAACAGCAGCACATGGGTTCTTAAGATAAAATCTTATACAACCGGAGCAACATACTACTTTTCTTGACTGCAGAACCAAATCATATATTTTGTTTCAACTGGTTTGCTTCCAACGAAACCGGATAATTAGATGTAACCGATGCAATACTCTTATGATTTATAAATAATCAACATTCATACACATACAAGTACCATATTCAGAGAGGAGCACGAGCTGCTCTTCTGGAGTTCATCTCCAGACAACAAACATACATACAATTTAAAACAGAACAAGTATAGTGAATCGATAAATACCTGTTTCGCTTCCTTCGAAACATGTTATTAACATAAACATACATTTGTAGCTTTGCCGAATCAAGCATCAGCCGCAACGAACTCACATGAGGCCCAAGTCTTTGCGACATCCGTTACCTTGCTTTGCTCCACCTGCACCTGTCTCAGCCGAGGGCAGCTGAGCACCAAAAACTCAATCGCGTCAGCTCGAATCTCACGACAGTGCATGATATCAACACTCTCCAAATGCTTACAGCTCTTAAAAATCGAAACCACGGCTGCATAAGTAAGCCTTCCGCACCCTCTCAATCTCAAATCAACCAAATTATTACACGAAACTAACATCGATACAAACTCTTTATCCGCCAACATTTCGTTATAAGACAAATCCAGCTTCCTCAATTGCCTCAAATTCTGTCCTAATGTGGCCAACAACCCCGGTTCTCTTTCAACCACGTCACAATTCACCAGTGCCAATTCTTCGAGGCCAGAACTCGCAGCGATAGCAAGAGCCTTGATGCCTTCACCACTCACAAGACAGCAACTTTGAAGCTTAATACTTGAAATGCTTCTGAAATTCTTCGCCACAGCCAACAGATGATCGTTATTAAGGTCGAGAGGCAATCGAAAATCGAGTTTTCGCAGGTTACAACGCCTTCGGCTGAAGAATCTAAGCAGACCATCTCTGCTGCCACCATCATAAACCAAGAGTGAAGTCAGAGAATCACAATTCTCCGCCACTTTCAGTAGAACGCCGTCGATTATCGCCCTACAAGTCCGGAGCTCCAGCTCCTGAACACCCTGCAAACACATGGCAAATGACGAAAATGACCCTCCATCCCCAATCCCTTCACAGCTCTTCAACTGCAGTTTCTTCAGCTTTCTGCAGCTCCTCCACAGCCACCCAAAGCCCCTATCGTCATCTCCGATTCCAGATAAACAGAGACTCTCCAAACCCAATTCTGCAGCCGAATCCTCCTCTGCAGAAAACCCATGTTCCCAATTGGGGTCAACGCCGCCCCCAGAGCAAACCCTGATCGACAGTTCCTTCAAAGACCGAAACTTGAGGACCCACATGAGGAACAGAGGCCTGGACAGATTGATGCAGAGAGAGGTGAGGTGGGTACATGATGAGGAGAGAGAAGTGAGGGAGGAAAGAGAGACAGGGCCGGCTAAGAACCTGAGGCTGTGAAGCTTGGGGCAGAAGGAGGAGACTAGGAGGAGGAGGTGGTCGGAAAAAGCGGTGGTTTTTCCGACAGTGGGAGGGTCGGGGGGTAAGAGGAGAGAGAGGGTAGAGAGGAAAGGGTAGTGAGAGAGGATGGAGGAGAGAGAAGGGAGGGTGGAAGGATGAGGGCTGAGACGGAGAGAGAGGGAGGTGGTGGAGGTGCGGTAGAGGTGGAGCCACCGCTTGGAGACCAAAGAAACGGTGGAGGAGGTTGATGGTGGCAGCCTTAGGAAGACTTCTTGAAGTAGTTCATCACATAGCTCCTTGTCCATCTCTTTCTCAATTTTTCGTAACCTTCAGCATCTAAATATATTCTTCTATAAAACTACTTTCGAGTCACCACCTACCCAAATGGAGATGAGCCCCTTACGAGTATACCGTCGTCGTAGCATTAGTGTCTGTAAAATCACAAATCGGTAACTATATATTATTGGCACGTAACGTCAGAATTGCAGATGAAGTGTAAAGACTTTTTGGCAGCATCAACTATTTGGTTATTTGCTTTGCTGGTGCTTTGTTTTCATTTGGTTTTGCTTACTAGATTCTGTGGGGAGTTTGCTTTAATTGCAGTTCAAAGTTTCAAGTGCGTTCACATATCAACGAGAGATTTTTCGATATGACCGTTACACGAGATAGTACATCATATGTTCTTATATAAATTATGAGATACATGTGTTAAGATGTTAATAACTTAAAAATTAAAATTTTTCATTACTTACATAAAACCACGTGATGTACCATCCGTGTTTTCATCACAATTAAAAATTTCTTCTTAGCAACGTTCTCAAGGGGTTACGTGACTCACACGCGCGACAAGGCGTGTGAAGTGAGGGGCAGTGGGACCCAGAAAAGTAACTAATGATAGACTCTACCATCATCCAACGGCAGCCGTAAGTTTGTGATTATCGTGTACCCCGTCCCAAGCAAGTTCAACCACTGAAAAGGAAAGCCTACAACACGAGAATGATAAAGGTCCTAGAGATTCTCCCATGCGTGTATTTCTTTTAGAAAATCTTTTAATTATTTCCGAACAATTAGAAAAAAATTCTTTAATCAGGGAGAATCCAATTCAGATGTAAGATACTTATCTAGAAGATCTCTCATCATAATTGTTATCAGGTCGTGCCGTAAAATGTTAAATTTTTGAGTTGAGAAAATCCTTAAAATGTTAAATCTTTAAGTTGAGAAGATCCGTCACCTAACACGAAGAGAAATATCTATCCGTTTAACTATTCAAGGTCACTAATTTTTTATATCAATAATCATTCAATTAGATTGATAGTGCATTTTTAACATGTAAGTATTTATACTAATTTTATTGAGACCATTTGATATTACGGTCTAGTATTATTCATCTTTACTTGTAAGTAAAATGTCTTAGATTTGATTATTACCAAAAGCTAAATTGAACCACATTATAATGGCTGGTTCAGTGTAAAACTTAGTTCATCCCCTACTCCCTTAGTAAATACTATCGTTTGTTAAAAAAAAACAAAAACAAAAACAAAAAACCTGATCGTATGAAAATATCTCTGCTTAAGAAGAATTCACGCACAACGTGTTTACATAAAACTTGTAGCTCAAGCGGTTAACAATGTATATTCATTTACCCCTTGAATGTAGTAGTATTTAAGGTTGTTCTATATTTGATTGACACCTTGTTATGCGACGGTATAGCAATCACAGCCGTAGAACTCTTGAATGTGTATTTATACATCTAAAGTGACACTAAACCAACCAAAATACAAAAAGAAATGAAACACTAGCTGTGTTGTGTAGGACCTTCGAACCACAACCATCTTTATTCTACGGCCTAAATTCCTTACCTGGCAAATGGCCTAAGCCAGCAGGGCAATAGGTCCTCATCAGTCTCTTTTACTGCATTTAATTTCCATCCTACTTGTTCAACGGAGATATCAGTATCCCAAGTCAATCACGCATGCACTGGTCTAGCCTATGAGAAAGTTAAAACGCATTGTTTTGAGTGATTGATGTGGGATACCGACACAATGACATCCCGTTGCAGATAAGTTTTTCTCATGTATTACATGGAAACTAGCCTCAATTTTATGTCCAATGATGCATTCTCTAAACCCATCCCACACTTGCACAACAGTCACTACACACATAATATAGACACACAAAAGCAGTAATCTTCATTTTCTAATTGTCTGCAGGTCTAACCAGCTACAAATTCATGTGAACGTTGTTTATAACGTGTTAAGAACGATGAAACAAAATATGAATACACAACGCCCAGCATGGCAGGTGAACCATACCTATGTAGAGGTAAGTAGCACTGTTCCATGCCCAGAGAGACTCCACCCAGGACCAGAAGTCACCAACATTAGTGCTGCCAGAACCTTCGAATTTTGCTTTCAACACTATAAAAGCAACTGGCGGGAACCCAATAAACCCCAGAATGAGATTGCAAACCGCCCTTGAAAGTGTTCTTATGCTCCTAGCTTTAACATCGGGCTTCAACGGATGAGCCATCAAGCACATTGGTACCATCAGTAACCCCCCAATCTCTGCTGTAGCAAAGTTAATGACCGACATGAGACACAAACCAGTGAAGGCAGCTGAAAGAGTCACTGATTTCAAGATGGGCCATTCTTCTCTTTGAGGTTGAGATTCATTGGCATGAGAAGACGGAGAAGCCAAAACCATGTACATGACCACAAGGCTGAGAACTGAAAGCGAAACCCAGATTGCAAAGCTGGTTGTTGGGGTGCAACTCGGTATTTGACAGATAAAATACGGGAGTAATGAAACAACAGAACCCCACAAGTGGACAATAAAAGCCTTCTTTGTTGCATATAGCCATTTCCATGATTCGAGAGTGACGATGGCCGAGGAAGCAGGTTTCCCTTTTTTCACACTAGAATCAGAGTTACTAGAATTAACATAGAGAGAAGCTGCTACCAAGGGGAGTGGGGCAACTAGTAGGGCAAAAGCAATCATGTAGACTCCCACTGACACAAATTTAGCCGGAGACGTTAATAGGTACAGAAAAAATGACTGGTGAAACTTCTCTAGAAGGTTGTTTACTGACCGAATGACTCCTTCAATTAATCTGCATAAATAAAAAAGAAACCCACAACAAAAATTTACACTCAAATACTGAATATTCATATTATTGCATGCCATAGATGCATACGCAAGTACAGCATATGTAGAAAACAAAAAGAACGAACTGTAAAATTGAAGATGCCCTAAAAAGCTTTAAATGCTTACAGAAACCAAAAATAAAAAATAAAAAATCTTATATATGACATATCAAATGAAAATGAAAATTGCATATGATCAACTTATTAGCAATCAATATTTCTAGGAAGTAGATGCTATTCAGCACTAACCGGGCACTTCGTAGAAGTAAATCATTTCGCCTGGCTATGTTCTCCAAAGAAGAAAATTGGGGGAAAATTTCCAACGTAATTGCATCAACTTGGTAATCACGGAAGGCACCATGAGGACCAGTGGGGATACCCAAAGCCTGGCATCATGAAGAATTTGATATAAGTATAAATATCTTTGTTTTATATCCTTTTACATCAAATTCAAAACTATAAACAAAGATTCTTAGCTTCTTAATTTTAAAAGTATCAACAAAGTAATCTAAGACAACAAAAAGAAAGTTGACTGACCTGGTTGTACAATGAACTTGCAAGTGTAGCACTGCCCTCGACATAATCAGCAGCTGGGATACCAAATTTCCAGTTGGGATTTAAGCTTCTAGCAAAATGTCCTAGTGATTCTAATATTTCACCCAAAGTCTTGAGCCACTTCAAGCCAAGTAAAGACCAAAGTTTCTCCACCTTTACCCGCAAACCTTGCCTATGCACTGCTAAGTAATTCACAACATTGATGAGGTCAAGATTTGGCATCTGCCCATTGGATGCCTCAGCATAGATGCCTAGACTATCCTCAAAATGTTCACTTCGATCTGCTACCTTGATGACAAGAGCTGCAGCCATGGTTCCAGCACGTTTAAATCCGTCGTAAATCGCCCTTTCTGTTGACAGGTTCTCATTCATTTCATACAGATTATTGCTTTCAGGACACATTTCTGCATCTAGCGTACCCAGTCCACTAAATACAGGCGTGTGATAGTCTCTTAGCCAAGCAGAAACTGCAGCATACTCTCCAAATTGGGAATCGGCAACGAGCCATATAACATCCTTGGCCAGCCAAGGAACTCTGTTGAGCAAGGAAAATACCGAGTATGCAATGCCCAAAGAAAAGGCTTCATTCGGGTTCACTTTAGCTGAATTGAAAGGAGTAACTAAGACAATAGCTTCCTTCCCATCACCACGTGGTGCTCTAATAATTCCAACAGTATTGACCCCATGCAACGCACAACTGATGTTCTGCTCAACTCTTCCAGAATCAGGGCTAGAAAAGAAGTGGAGCGGGTGAAATTGGTTTAACTGAGGATGGAACTTGTGAAAACTAACTTCAGCACCCAAGTTCGACATATGCTGGGCAATGATTCTTTGACTTCCTCTGAAACATGCCGTAAAAGTTTGATAAATCTGACACGATCAACTAATCTACTTTCAAAGTCGAAAACTTAAGATGTAATGTGCCCGATTGAGCAACCTACCATGGTACTTAAATCAACCTCTAAATATTAGACAGTAGTTTCCCTCTCCAGTGCCGGAGCCCGAAGCAAAAAGTTTAAATTTTGGTTTTTTAAGTAACTTCGAACGGTAAACAGCAATGTCTACACTCTACAGACTACAATCAACATAAACAATAAAGTGCACCGAAAATTTAAACGAATGACATACATTGCAGAACCGAGAGTCTTCGAATTCGAATTAGTCAAATCGTTTACCAATCTATTCGCCTCTGCAACCTCCTGATTCGAAAGCATAGACGCCACGGAGCCTGCGAATTAAGCAACCACATCAGCAGCAACAGAACAATGTTCATAACCGAATACTTTTCGACAAATAACCCAAACGGAAGTGAAAAATAGAGAGAAATTGGAGAACTGACCAGGCATGAGGGCATTCTCGGAAATATAAGTGTTCTTGGCGAGAACCGGAAGCAGCAAGAGCGCCACCACCCCGGCGGCGGAGAAAACGACACTGACAAAAGAGAAAAACGACCGCCAATTCATCGTTATCAGCATTAGCTGGTGACAGCCATAATAATTTAGTATGGGGATGTAATATATAGAAATAAATTAAATTAATTACCTGAACAAGAAGCTGTGGGAGATGAGGAAGATCCCCAGCCATACGATCGGTTTACGTTTAGGTTTAGCTCCGGTGGCGGTCTCGCTACCGCACTCCGCCATTGTTCTCCGGAGTGGATTCGAAATCCGATGGCGGATGGGATCGGTTGTTTCTGTTAGGGGAAGTGTGAGTTTCGCAGTCCATCAGTCGGAGTCCATTTGTAGGGAACGAAGAGGAAGAGCTGAGCTAAAAGCCGCAAGTGAGTCAGAGACGACGAGATCCGAGTTGGCGGGTTGGACTTGAGGACTTGAGGGTGGTATCGGGCTTTTGGGCTTATTTATTGGGTAAAAGACGAAAAGGCCTTTGGGCTTATCTGATATAATATGGGCCATTTTGGCAAAAAGCTTGATCAGCAGGCCAGCCACCACTTCGTTTACCTAAACCAACATGCCGGTTTAGTTTGACGTAGAATATAACCTAATACTACTCACTATAGTACTAACTGGCATGCAAGCGATATTCTAAAACGCAGATGTAGGATTTGAATTAGGAAGCAAAGTATGAAGAATATATGATATAGCCTATGAGCTCGTTTAAATGTGCTTTTAAAATGACTGAAAACGTTGTTAGAATATTTTTGGGTTTCAAAAGCACTTAAAGTGCTTAGTGCTTCTTCCAGAAAGCACTTTAAGTGCTTTTCCAGGATTTACTAGCATTTTTACTAAGGATTGTTTCCAAAAACACTTTCACTAGAAGTACTTTTAGTCATTTTAAAAGCACATCCAAACAAACTTTATGTAATCATGTTCGGTAGTTTGGGCTAGAGCTTTAATTCTCTCACTGGCCTCTTCTCTTATCCCATTTCCTCCTTTTTTTCTTCAAACGTTTTAGAAAACAAAACCAACGGATTTTTCTTCTAGTATGCACCGGAGTATAACGTCAATTGCACTACTGCCTTTGATAACCATTGGTAAATCACGAAACTACTTTCACGTCTCATGAAAAAAGCACACACGAATCGAATTACATGCTGACACTGCGGTCACAAAATCATTCATTTACGGAGTTCTTTAACATTCATGCCCAAAAGTAATTCGATCTTCCGCACGCAGCAATAACAGTTATTCGATAGAAAAGCAAAACATTCTCAATGGGTTCCAGAAAATCGATTTTACAGACATGCAGATTGTATATAACGTACAAGTAAAAGTGGCCTCAACACCGGCTCAAGGTAGAACCGGGAAGAACATAGGCATAGCCCATTTTAAATAATACCTACAACTACATAAGGTGCACCAAGATCGGTGAGATATATGATCAAGCAAAAGAACCGCAACACCCCTATAGCACCTAAACAATCCTTTCGAAACAGACATCAACTACGACAGTGAGTATACAGAAACACTACGTAGAAAGCTACTTAAGTCGACCATGTAACTAGCTAATTGCTTGATTTTCAGCAAGCACATGCTACTCAGAACTACTAGTGACAAAGGTTAAAGATGATCATAGGCTAGCTACGTAGAAAGCTACTTAAGTCGACCATGTAGCTAGCTAATTGCTTGATCTTCAGCAAGCACATGCTACTCAGAACTGCTAGCGACGAAGGTTAAAGACAATCATAAGCTAGCTACGTAGAAAGCTACTTAAGCGGACCATGTAGCTTGCGAATTGGCAACAATGCCAACATGTCCCCATGTTCTTTCTTAATCTATCAAGCATTTCATTTCACTTGAATAACTAATAACCCAAAAGCAAACACGGAATCAAATATACAACCAAAAATTGGGAAACCAGAAAACCCAACAAACTCAAAATCCAAATACAAATTGAGTCATTGACCTACAAAAATTAGCTGAGCAGAGCAGGTTCAGCCAGCTAATTGCCCGTGTTCAAACATCGCCAAGATGTCCAACTGGATAAAATGTCCGAAGAGCCTCTCTCCTATTCATTACAAACAAAGCGAAGGCGCTACTTAGCCCTAAAAAGAATGAAGGCCGTGCGACCCACGCAGAGTTCTTAAGCCATCAACTATTTCATTTTCATTGCATAACTAATTCCAACAAGCAAACACATAACCACACACCCAAACGAACATTCCGAAAATCGAAACAGATTCAAATTGCAAGTAAAAATTGAGTCAACAAAACCCATTTCATTCTCTGTTTGCATAAAACAACAAAGACGATCTAACAGTAAGCAATAAAATCCAATACCATATCTCAATAATAAGGTAGCACATTATATAAAATAGCGAAAAACTCCGAAAAACGACAAGAAATATCGAATTGGTTGAAAAAACCTAAGCGGTGAGCACGACGGCGCCACCGGCCTCCTTGATTTTCTTCTCGGCGGTCTTTGAGATCAGCTTGGCCTTCACCACCAACGGCTGAGACGGCAAAACGCCCTTCCCCAACACCTTGAAGTAGCCGAACTGAGTGACGTCGAGCAACGGCGCCTCGCTTCCTCCCTTGGCGGCGGCGGCCTTGTCCTTCACGTCCTGGGGTACAAGCGACCACAGCTTGTCGAGGTTGACGATCGGGCAATGGAACTTGTTGCGCAGCCTGTGGAAGTACCTCATCCCGACCTTACCGAAATACCCTGGATGGTACTTGTCGAAGAGGATCCGGTGGTGGTGCATTCCTCCGGCGTTACCGCGACCGCCGGGATGCTTGCGGTGCTTGCCGATACGCCCGTGACCTGCGCTGACGTGGCCCCGCTTCTTGCGATTCTTCTTGAACCTCGTCGTCATCGTTGTCCGCTAGGGTTTTTGGGGGGCGGCTGCTGGTGAAATGGAGGAGCTTAGGAGCTAGGGTTTTATTGGAAGAATATATAGGGAAGAGGAGAAAATGGATTGTCGAAAGACATGAAACGCCGCGTTTCGAGTTTGGGCCGTTGTTTATTTTTTCCCGCCTCCATCGCGGGTTTCCTGGAAAATTGGGCTTTTCTGTTAGAGCTTGGGATCAACGTAAAGTTGAAATTGGGCCTCACGTGGAAATATCAACTTTGCCCTCTAAAAATATTTAGAAAACTAAAAATTAACAAACATTTGATATTAGATAGCGTCGGCACCAAAATATGATAGCTAACCCATTCTGTGACGATCCTTCAAATTTTCATTACACGTAAAAATTATCATTCGAGCCTCGTGAATATCATCATTGGATTAAAAATGCCATCAAGTAAAGATCAAAATCGATTTGCGAAAAATGAAATCAAAACACGTATTAGGAATTCATAAGAAAGAGAGAGGGATGAACATGAAATCAAACTTGAAGAGGGTATTATGAAGGTGATGGTTGGAGATGAGGGAGGTGGCTGAGTAGGTAGCTCGGTTAGTTTTTTCATCTATGTTTCTAAAACCCATAAAATGTGAGTCTCTTCTCGATTTGAAGAAACTTTTTTTTTTCTGTCGGTGTTATGAACTTTTGAAGAGTTGGGTGGGTCGTGTTTTTCTATTTTTGGAGTTTTGTTAATGATTTTAAATCTTCTCTCTTTTTAAAAAAGTTTAGTCCATGTGGCACCACATAGGTCTGACACGTCATCAAAGTAATAGTAAAATAAATGGAATGGGACGGTAGGGACGATTCATTTGTGATACCAAATTTCAAGAACGATATTGATCAATTTTCAAAAACTAAAATAAAAAGTGAGGTCAATTTCAAAGATCATTTATGATAAAAAAAATCCTATTTTATAATACTGGCGCAAAATTTTCGTTATAGTGTCATACTTATGTCCAAATTAACTAGTACTTTTGATATTAGCTTCTCTATAAATATTGTACGCAATTGATTGGGGATTTGTTTCTTTCTTACATAGGAAAATAAAAATAAAAATATATTTAATTCGTGAGACTTGAGACTTGAGACTTGAAGGGTTTAAGATCCTTAGCAGCTAACATTTCCTTTCCTCCTACTTTGTTAGGTCGTCTTCTTCTTTTTGTCGATTCTAGGTCTTCCTCTTCGCTCTCTGTACTTCCTCCTCTCAGAATTAGAAACCCTCATGGATTCGCATACCAACGACCCTAACCTCGACGGCGAAGCTCACGACATTAACGGGCCAGACCACCGGCACGAGCCGGCGGAGGATGACGACTACAGCAGGTCCCAGCCTCACACTGGCGACGGCGCCAGTCCCGGGTAATCTCTCTTCTCTTTTACTTTCACGCCTCCGTTTGGTTCCCGAGAAAATTTAGGGAAAACCCAGAAAAAATTCGAAATCTCAGCTTAGCTATCTTTCTCTAATTCCGTAGGAAAATCTTTATAGGGGGTCTGGCAAGAGAGACTACCACAGGTAGGATTTTCAATTTTCGTATATGCTTAGTTGATTGATTACTGTGATTTTTTAGTTTTTAGGGTTTCTGATTGGGAATCTGTTCTGGTAATGCAGCGCAATTTATAAAGCATTTTGGTGCGTACGGTGAGATTATAGATTCGGTGATAATGAAGGACCGGAAGACGGGCCAACCCCGTGGTTTCGGGTTTGTGACGTACGCAGACCCTTCTGTGGTTGATAAAGTCATTGAGGATGCTCATGTTATCAATGGCAAACAAGTAGGTATTTTTGAGCTGTATACTTCTTTTGTTTGTAAAAAAAGGAACTTGCGTATGAATTTTTTTTTTTTTTTTTTAATAATTTGGAGGTCGAAATCAAGCGAACAATACCCCGGGGAGCAATGGGTTCTAAGGATTTCAAGACCAAGAAGATTTTTGTGGGTGGAATTCCAACAACTGTAAATGAAGGTGCTCTTATTTGTTGGTGCTTGTCCCTTTTCAGTTTCTAGTTCTTGAGTATAGTTAATGAGGTACTTATGTTTTTTTGTAAATGGGCAGAGGAGTTTAGCGACTTCTTTTCACAGTACGGAGAGGTCAAGGAACATCAGATTATGCGGGACCACTCCACTGGTCGCTCCCGTGGATTTGGATTTGTTACCTTTGACACAGAGCAAGCAGTGGATGAACTCTTGGACAAGGGGAACAAGCTTGAGTTTGCTGGAGCTCAGGTGAGTTGTCTACTGATAAACATTTGTCTGTGCCCTTGTATGCTTTATGATTATGCCACATGGGGCAAATTCCCAAATAGTTATCGTATGCATTATCTGTTGCATTGGTTGTAGTTTAGGATTATGGTGTGCCGAATTTTGCATTGATGTTCCACATATCCTCGTTAATTGTCATATTCTAGTACTAGTGAGTAGTGACATACACGAATGGCCATCTCAGTATCTTGTTTATCAAGATTTTGTGTTTATTATATGTGTCGTCTCATGTTGTCAATTGAGTGTTTGCTCCCTCTTTTTAATTTTCTGCTTTTGCTGATCGATGTGGAATAATGGTTTTGTAATGGGTTGCACTAAATTGTTGCTTGGTTTAGTAGTACCTGTAAATTACTTAAAAGTTACTTATTGTTTTAATTACCAAAAAAAAGTTCGCATTGCTTTATTCACTTTTGAAGTGATGAATAAGGAAACCATGGTACTGTATGCTTGACCAAACAAAACTAAGGTAGAATTCACTTGCGTACAAGAAAATAGTTTACTTGTACTCAGACGGTCTGGCCATATAGTAAATGCATCTATGATCATTCAAGAAGCTTGATAATTTGGATTCATCTGTTATTTCTTGTAGGTAGAGATAAAAAAGGCTGAGCCAAAGAAGCCAAACCAACCTGCACCACCATCAAAACGTTATAATGATTCTAGACCTGCATATGGTGGTGGGTATGGAGAAAGCTATGGTGGATTTGGAGGTAGCAGTTATGGTGGTGCTGGTGGTTATAGGTCAGCTGCTGCTTATGGTGGTAGAGGCAGTGCTTATGGAGGATATGGTGGCAGTGAATTTGGCGGATATGGAGTATATGGTGGCGGCGGTGGTATAGGGGCTTATAGGGGAGAATCTTCCATAGGATATTCAGGCCGTTATGGAGGAGCCTATAGCAGGGGTTACGATATGGGAGGTGGTTATGGTGGAGCTGGTGAGAGTTATGGGGGATATGGAGGTGCTGGCGGGGCAGCTGCTGGTGGTGGTGGTTATGGGAGTGGCTATGATGCAGGTTTTGGAGGTGGTTATGGGGGGGGCTATGGAGGTGGTAGTGGAGCTTCCTTTTACGGTAGTCGAGGAGGGGGATATGGCGGTGCAGGTAGTGGCCGATATCATCCATATGGGAGGTAGAAGGGTCTGTTGTATTTTAGGATGAAAGAAGTCCGCAGCTAAATGAACCTAACTTTGTAGCTATTGGCTTCAAGCCTACAGGCGTGTGTTTCCAGTTTTTCACTTGGTCTCATTTCTCTCTTTCTTTCTTTTGCCCCGGCGGCAATGGAGGCCGGTAACCTTGTGTCAAGGACGTTCCGTATAATCTTCGGTTGAATTCTTTTTATTTCATTGAAGCCCTTTATTTGTACCAGGACTATGAGATTAAAGAGACCTGGCAATTGACATTAACAGGCTGCACATTTGTGCAGATGTTTGCATTCTCGCACTGAATTTTATTTCGTACGATGGCTTAGAGACTGCCATTTTTGTTATTACTTTCTGAGTCCGTGGGACTTTTAGGATCTCACCCGTTGGAGATGTTCTTAACAATTTTTGCATGATTTGCTAGTTTTTGTTTGGAAAGCATTTCACCGTCCTCCATCTTTTGTGATGCTTGTACGTCTTGGGCTCTGCCCTTTGTGTCAATACATGCTTTTAGATATTTTCTTTTTAACTCGTATGAAATTTTTAGTTAAACCCAAAAAATTAATAATTAGACAACCAGTACCAATTAACCTTTGATTCGGTGATGCTTCTCTTCCTAGTGATGGAAGCAGTTTTAAGTTCGAATCACTTGACTCCTACAACCAAAACAAAATGATTAAGAAAACAGTATATTGTTACTCGTACAATTTTCTTAACTTCATAAGGGTGAAATGGTTTCGATCAGTATTCAAAATATCATTATTATTGAAAATATTATTATATAAATTTATGAAATTATCGATGCATCTTTTGACCTGTATAAGTAACCCAAAAAAGAGAGAAAAAAGATGAAACTACTTTTCTGGTAGGCAGGACTTTTCTCCGAGCTGGTTTGTGTCAAGTATTAATCACATATAGGAGAGATTTTTTAGTGTGACCGACGCATGAAGTGATACACTACGTGTCACTACACAAATGATGAAATATAATATGTGTTAAAAAGTTATTAACTTAAAAAATAAAATTTCTCATCAATTACATAAAAATATGTGATGCGTCACAATTAAAAATTTCACACGCGCGATGGAGAAAGAATGGCGACGGTGTCCTGGAATCTGAGCCCGAGTCCACGCCTAAAGGTGCACACAGACTCATAGATTTATTTATTTATTTTACATATTTTATTTATAAAATAATAATAACTGCGAAAATCTCCATTTGGTGTCGCCATTGTTTGTTCTCGTAGCTGCTTCAAGTCTCCTGCAGAAAGAGAGATAAGAATCAAGATAACTATGACCCTTACAAAGTCATCAAAATTACGCCTCCGCCCAAGAATCTCGGCCTTCGTTGCTTTCCCTCCGTAAGTCCTATCTCATTTTTGCAAATTATTAATCTTTTTCTGCGAATTATTTTTTAATTACTTTTTGTTTGAGGAATTGCAATTTCATAATTGGCTAAGAAAACTAGAGAATATGTTCCAATTAAAATATAAAAAAGTACCCAAGTTTTTATGGGAAAGGGATCATTCTTAATCCCTTCTTCTTAATCCATTAAATTTAGAGATTTGAGCTATTGGAATTTCATCCAACGGTAAAAATTATTATAAGCTTTAAAATAGGCTTTTATTTGTAGCAGTTTGATCAAATCTCAATAGCCCGAATTTCCGGACTCGATGGATTAGGAGAGAGGAATTCAGAGAGGATTCCTTTCCGTTTTTATGGGTCCACTCCGTATGGTATTTCAAGCTGAACCGTTTATGTTTTAGGTATTTTCTCAAAGATTACATCTTCAAAAAATTACCCCACTATAAAGCCATATGACCGTTGAATTAAGTGTTCAGAGTTTTTTATTTTTTCAACACATGAATGTGTTAATGTTTTAAATTTGTCTAAGTTTTTTGCAAGGATGATATGAGTGATGGTTCGGATCGTTAAAATATATTACGGAATGGACTCCAAAATAATGTATGTCAAAAGTTATGTAAAAAATGGAGTCACGGATCAGCTCCCTATAAAAAGAAAATATTAAAATGAGAGGCAAAAATGTTTCCCTTTGCTAGACAGATTGGGGACTTGTGGCAAAAGAGCATCAAATCCCAGTAATAATTTTGGGGATCAATTCTGAATCTGTGAATGTCTGTTGAGTGGGAATTATGCATGTGCTGCTGCTGCTGCATTTGCTCTTGCTTATTATATTAATTGTATTATGAGCGGTTTAAGCTCGATTACTGCAATGATTAAGCACTAATGCCGTCGATTAGGATGTCACAGATGTACAAATTGACTGTAAAAGGAAGTTTTTCGAGTGTGAATTTGGTAGAAGCTGCGTGATCGATGTATTGAAACTTGAAAGAGTTGGTCACTGAAATCCCTTTTGCTCTAGGGGGACATATACACTTGTTCTGATAGATTGGTGTTGGCGATGACTTTGGGAAGTGTCACAAGAGGAAGCCCTTTATGGTTTTTGGAGGAGGTTGAACCCCAATGAGTCCCACTTTTCCTTTTCTTTTCTCTTTTGGCTAGTAAGCATCACTGTGCCGTCGAGAAATGCAAAACCATACCGAGGATGTGAGGCGTCCTCGTTTAAATGTGTATCAGATGGCTTCTTCGGGTGTGAAAACATTTCTAAAGTAGTGTTTCGCTTGAAACATTTCTAAAGTAGTGTTTCGCTTGGGTAAAAACATAGCATCGACCGTGTACTCAGTCGTCTTGATCTTTCAGAAACTGTAAGAAACTAACAGATTACTTAGACAATAATATGTCGAAATGAAGATAAGCAATGTAATTCACATTCGTGGCTAACTTAATTAAGCGTGAAGTTAAGAGCACGAGTTTCAGTGTTTACTGCACACACCTAAAGAACACAGTGACCGAGCAATGGTGAATGGGATCACAAGGTGATCAAAGTCTTTGTGCTGCGGCATTTTCTTTTCTTAAGTGTCTAAACGCCGTTTTATGTTGTTCTAAGATGTACAGGCATGGAAGATGATTCACGTACGGGATCAAATTTGGTCCTTTTTATTTGGCTAGGCAAATGATCACCACCTATGAGATTTGAAGTTCTCACACTGTTTCATTCTCCATCACATTTGTGCGGGGAGAGGGCACCCCTTCGCACGAGTTCAGGAAACTGCACCGGAACCTTCCCTAAAACTATACTTGCATCCAAACTGATCGTTTCTCTCCGGCATGCTGTCAGTATTACTCTGTTGTGTTGGTTTCGTTTATACGAATAACTATGATTAGTGTGATTACGTCTGTCTTGCTGTCTATATTACTTTGTTTGCTCATCCATGGGGGAGCGGCAGGCCCTACGGATGTGTGTGATACATCGAATTTGCGACCGAATATGCTATTTTCTTCTCTTTTGATTTTCCTTGTGTGTATTCTTATTGCACCTTCCATGCTGCAGAACCTACATTGCGGGGACAGTGTGACAATAGAAGGCCAAACTTACACAATCTGGGCCGTAACTCGTCGGTACTGGCTCCGGAAGGGGAAGTATGAACCGAGCGAGAAGAGGCTTGACGTTTTGTCAACGGCGAGATACGTCTTAAATTTGTACCTAGAAAACTTGTAAGAACAATCTTGACATCTTGTTTAATGTTAGTTTCCTCATCACATTCCTTGCTAGTTCGCCCATGCACAGAGAAGGAAAGGAATGTTTAGTTTAATGCTTCTAGTTTGTAATTGTATGGAGAATTCTTTGGTGGGACATCTACGTCGTGATGTTACTAATTCACGTATACTAAATGTTATAGTTGCATATGTTATAATATGAATAGATCCGTAAAATCACATGATAGTGTAAGTGCTTGACTGAAAAAGTTACTTGTTTGTATATGGAGCATGTGTGGTCAATGAGTTTCACACATGAGTCAATATGTTGTGTTGCCACAAAGGGATTTGTTTGGCGTGATGGGTGAGATTAGATCATAGGGATATGATTGAATTCGCAGTGACGTATAATTCACTCTATTATGAACTCATAATGCACTAATATTGTCCATCTCACATTTGACACAATAAATAACGGATTGAACTGAAGTTTATTTTAATTGATCACAACTTATTCCATCCAGCTCATCAGAAAATGCCTTAAGGTTTTTTAGTTTGGAACTGATCTTGACAACTCTATGTTAGTATTGTGTGGCTGTGTTTTAGGTACATTGAAAGATTGCTCACCGGGAGAAATGGAAAAGGAGGCAGATTGTCTGCTCTCCTGTTTGGGTGCCCTTCCCATCCCCTCTTATTTTGTGATGTCACGATTAAGCTAATTCTTTTTTATAGAGATAATAAGAAAAAAAAATATATAAAATATTAACGTGACTTAATCATGACGGTACAAATAGGAAGGAATGTGAATAACACCCAAACAGGAGGGACAGACAATCTGTCTCCAATGGTGGTCCCTACTAGTCAAGATATTGTCTAAATTCCCTCCTAATAATTATCCGTGTCAGAACCAAGTGTTCTGCACCATATACAACCGGGAACGGATTCCTCCTGAGCCTCTTGAGTAAATCATACGGATGGTTGGATTTTAATCAAACGGTTACAATTATTATAATTTTCAGAGGGGCTTCTTGTTTGTAGCAGTTGGATTAAAATCCAACGGCTCGTGTGATTTGCTTAGGAGGCTACCTCCTAAGCTCAAGAGGGGATCCGTTCCCTATACAACCGTCTGATGAACGTATGGTTTGAAATGGGTTTTTTTTGGATCCCACATCGTTAGGAAAGCATGTTACGTGTATCTGGTCACCATCACGAGAATGACTTTTTTATTTTTTACTTTTTTACATTGATATTATTACACGAACGAAAAGGAAGTAGATTTAACCTTACAAGAATAACTTGTACAACTCGTGTTTATCGCAATTAGGACGTTCCGATACTAATACACAATGTCAAATATAGGTTTGTTTTCACGAAACATTGTGTAGTAAAATTGATTTTTACAATTAAAATACTTGTTTTATATAAGTTGTTATAGAAATCTCACTGCACTTACGATCTACAATACAAAACACCACCCTCGGCCCCACATAATGGAATTAGTGGGAACCCCAGCGTGATTGTGGTGAGATTTTTTAGTTTGCCTGAAAACGCACTAACGCACTAAGTTTTATAACATAAATAGTTGAATATTTGAAAAAAAAAATAAAAATTAACTGCTTGTACAATGACATTTTGTTTAATAAACTGTATTTTCGACACATTGAATTTTTTTTGTGATTGTAGACCCTCGTACCCAAAGCTCCGTAACATTTGATACGGGCGGCCGGTCCTTCCAGATTAAACATAACCTTTTGTTTCGCCGCGGGCATACCGTAGATTCACGCGACGGGCATGACAGCCGTCCACGTGCTTTGTCGCTGGTGTTCACGTGCTCGCATGTGCGGCCTCTCTCCTGGTTCCCGCGAAAGGAGTTAACGAGATTTGTGCGGTTACTTAATCCCCATGTAATTACGACTAATTATAATTTAATTTAATTATCTTGACCTAAATAATGTTTTAAAAAATGAAAATTAAGTCCTATATCTGCTCCCTTGCAGGCGATCATGTTTTTCACAGGATTTCTCGTTACTCATGTCAGCATTCTCACTTCTGATATCTCCAGGTGTTGTCATCATATTCCTTGATTTCGAAATGGCAGCATCAGTGTCGTCTAAAGGCTCTGTAGCCTTTTCCGGGGTAAGGAAATCTTGATTCAAGGGCATGATGGAATTGATTTAAGTAAGAGTTGCTCGGGGAAGAGGAGGTCTTCGACCCCTCTTATCTATCGGATGTCTATTCGAACCTTTTAGAGTGTGGCTTTCATAGTTGCTATTGGGAGGCAGCTTTTGAGTATATTCAATTGATTTGTGGTATTTCCTATTGTAGTGGTTCCTTAGTTATCCATGTCATTTTCTTCGAAAGAATGTGTCTTGAAGCCATCGCAATTTACCAGACAAAACCAAGACGACAACGTACACACTTCCCCTTATTCCATGGGGCCTTCTCATCAGTTGCAGGGTTTGGTGGCCCGAAATTTACTTGGCGAAGATTTTGGTGTTGCGGTCAATCAAAAACATTGTCTAGGTACATTCTAGATGTTGGATATTTTCCACTCTTTGGATTAGATTCCATTGAAAAATAATTATTAGCATTGTATTATTGGAATCTAGTGAGAAAATAAAATAATATTTGAGGAGAAAGAATGCTTGAAAATTTGACAATGTTGAGGACCTCTGCTCTCACTCATGGGATAAAACGGATAACATAATCAGTAGCGGATTTAAGATTAGAATCATTGAAAGTTTTAATATTAATTTTTTAGATAGAAACATGTCAATAGATAATGACATATGTTGAAACAGTCTAATGAGTGATATCAAGAGAATCTGTCGAGTGATATCAACGCATCATCTCAAGATATTCTGGCATGCATTACATCAAATGGGCACAAGAAGGATTAGTACCAATCATTTCTCGAAAGACATTCACATGTATATTTTTCAAACTCCTAGTGGTCCTAAAACCACTTTGGTCTCAATGTACATTCGTCCTTGGACATAATTGTCTTGAAAAAATGTAGGAGCCACGTGATGTTGATAATTGCATTGCTCATATAAAATGTAAGTGGAGTTGTTATTGGCAGCTCGAAAAATAAGTTACATTTTGAAGACTATGATAACAATTGAAAATTAATAAAAGAAAAATGAGTTTGATATTGTATAATTGCGTATGATATTGCATTTGAGTATGTAGTTGTAGAATGAGGCTATTGCAAAATTTGGGTTTGGTTTCTTCATTTAAATTCCTCATATCTTATAAATATACGTTTGAAAAATCTACATCCTTGCCAGGTAGGTTCGATTGAATGCCTCAAAATTTATTGTACTGAGAATTCAAACATTGAGAAAAAAAATGTAACACTAGTCTGATCACAGCTAATAATTCTTAACATTCACAAGACCAATTCATTCATTCAAGATTGAATTCTCCAAGCGGGTTATTGGTTAAGAGAGCACTCAAAAAATTTCATGCGAGAAATTTTTTTTCGATTACGGACATTACATACCTCTTTTTTGCGCTGGTTGTTTTCATTGTAATTGCTAAAATACCTCAATGAACAAATTGAAATCAACTTTTGCAACACATCTTTAGAGGCACACGATTTGATATACTATTTGTCATATTAAATTTTTTCAACCAATTGTATTATGACATTTAACGTATCGGATTATGTTTTCGACACACTTTAAAAGCACATGATTTGATACACTATATGTCGCATGAAATTTTTATGACCAATTATATTGTGAAACTTACCGCATCAGACCATATTTTTGACACACTAAAATATCTCTGGCGTACAATGAGCCATGATACAACTAAAAAGTTTGAGTTTATTCACAAAAACAAGAACAAAGCAAAGAGACGTTCTTTCCACCACATTTTCGTCTCGGAGAACAAAATAGAGAGGAAAAAACATCCAAAGACAAAGACGGCCTTTTAAGCTTTACGCTATGCTTGCGAATTTTGGCTTCGTTTTTCTCTCAAATCCGCACCGCGACGAAAAAAAACCAGAGAAACTCCAACTTTCTGCTCTCCCCGGAAGTTAAAAATTAATAAATTTATTCATATTTTTTCTTTCTTTGTTGTCATGTTGCTTGATCCTCCTCTGGTTTTCTTGTTCGATCGGATCTGAAGCTCTTCAGTGAAATCCAAAAGATAAAAAACAGAAACAGGGACCCCCTCTAAGTTGTTTCACTTTCTCCGTGAGCTCTCGCGCTTTGGGTCTCTCGCTCTCTCTCATTGTGCCCACCAGCCATGCGAGATTGCTTGCTGTCGTCAGCTTTCTCTCTTCTCTGATCAGGTAATTTTTCTAAGCTCTCTTTGGCTAATTGGGTTCTTTGCTATGAGGTTCTTTTGCGTTGTTCTGCTGTTTGGTTGCCGGGAAACTGTGGGAAACGAAAGAAAAGGAAAGTCGGGTTTGGTTTTGAAAAGAATCAAAATTAGAACTTGGGTTCAATCACTGGAGAATTTGGGTTTCTGGGTTTTATAAAAAGATAAATTTGTGTTGAAAATTTTGTCAAATGATCCTTTTTTGATATATTTTCCCCCCTTCAACATTTTCTTGCCACCAAAAATGGCGTTTGGGGCATTGGCAGCCATGGATTGTCGAGGAAATGCATTTTTTCCCCTTTCGCGCTGCCATTAATTAGATTGTGAATTAAAGTTTGTATGTTGAATTTCGGTTCATCTGGGATTTTCTTTGACTGTATATTGTTGCAGATTTTTTGTTGATTCTGTGTTTCGAATTGACTGCTCTGATGCAATCTGCCTTGTTAATTTGAATTTTGGAAGACAAATTAAGTTGATGATTATGTACTTAATGCCTTTAGCGGTAAGATTATTACATATCATATTATCATAGTGCTCAGTTGAATTTTGCAGTGATAGTGCCTGTGTGAAAGCCATGGGGTCACTGGTTGATGGGGTTAATTCTTTGCCGAAAATTCGCGATTCTGCACCGCCCGAGGTAGGCAAGAACCCTCCTTCCACAACTGGGACTCCTCGTCCTTCTCAGCCTTCATCTCCAAAACAATCAAGAAGCGAAGGGGTTTCGTCGCCATCCTGCATGACTGCGCATACTTATTCAGTGAAGACAGACAGCTACTCAAATGGTTCTGTAAATAATCAAAAGAACCCCAACAAGACAACTAATCATAGCATGCAGCAGGAACAGTTTCTTCATATGGGGAAACACTACCACAATTCGAATAAAGGAACACTCGAACATGGAGGCCCAAATGATGTTCTTAACAAATCAGCCGAAACTTCTTATCTGAACAAGGTTTCCGTGCTGGAAGCAAAATCAAGTTTCAAGCATCCAGTTAATGATTGTGATTCGAGTAGATATCTGGAATCTAGTAATCACAGTTTGGTTCCTTATAAAGAAGTAGCCGGGCAGACAAATAGCCACCTCATTTCTCACTGTGCAAGCCCTCAGAACAGTTTATATTCTGCCTCACTGTATTGTGAAGCCAAGCAGAGTTTCACCAATACAGAAGTCAGTGAATGTATCAGCAGTGTGGAGAAGTCTGTTGAAAGCAGCGAAGTTACTAATTCCTGTGATCTTATTGAGAGCAAGACGACCAGCATCTATAGAGGCAGCACTGACAGTGATGTTAGCGATGAGAGCAGCTCCAGTAGTTTGAGCAATGCCATGTACAAGCCCCACAAGGCAAATGATATTAGTTGGGAAGCGGTGCAAGCTGCGCGATCTCATCATGATGGAACACTGGGTAAGGAGCATTTCAAGTTGCTGAGGACACTGGGATGTGGAGATATAGGCAGCGTTTATTTGGCTGAACTGATTGGCACTAAAACTTATTTCGCCATGAAGGTTATGGATAAAGCATTACTGGCAAGTAGGAAAAAACTTCTTAGGGCTCAGACAGAGAGGGAAATACTGCAATCTCTGGATCATCCTTTCCTGCCAACATTGTATACACACTTTGAGACTGCGAAGGTATCTTGTTTGGTGATGGAGTTTTGTCCCGGGGGTGACCTGCATGCACTCAGACAAAAACAACCTGGGAAGCATTTTTCGGAGCATGCTGCTAGGTTAGATATTCCTTCATACTTCCCCTTTCAGTTTAGGTTACAATAGGAATCATATTTCAATAGCCTGCAGAGAAAAGGGAGTAGTAAACCTATAAACTAGAAGGACATCAAGTGTTTTGCACACGTTTATTTGCCAGTGTTGGGGACATGCTAAAGATAATAATTCTAGTGTGTTAATCTCCTGTTTGTTTTTGCAGGTTTTATGTGGCTGAAGTTCTTCTTGCCTTGGAATATTTGCATATGCTCGGGATCATTTACAGAGACCTCAAACCAGAGAATGTTTTGGTGAGGGAAGATGGACATATAATGCTTTCAGATTTCGACCTTTCTTTAAGATGTGCCGTTTCCCCCACCCTGGTAAGATCTTCAAACTTAAGTTTGGAGACAAGGAAATCAGCATATTGTGTTCAGCCTGCATGCATCCAGCCAACTTGTGTAATGCAGCCGAATTGCATTACGCCCACATGTTTTGGTCCACGCATTTTCAAGGGCAAACCCAAGAAAGATAAAAAGATCAAAGTGAAGAAGAATGATAATGATGTATACAATCAAGTGAGCCCTCTCCCTGAACTCGTTGCAGAACCGACAAGTGCTAGATCAATGTCCTTTGTGGGAACACATGAGTACTTGGCGCCTGAAATCATTAAAGGTGAAGGCCATGGCAGCGCTGTAGATTGGTGGACCTTTGGGATCTTTCTCTACGAGCTTTTGTTCGGAAGAACTCCATTCAAGGGGCAAGGAAACCGGGCTACTTTGTTTAATGTGGTTGGCCAGCCCTTGAGATTTCCAGAGCTGCCTTCTGTCAGCTTTGCAGCCAGGGACTTGATCAGAGGTTTACTTGTCAAGGAGCCACAGCATCGTCTTGCGTATAGGCGGGGAGCAACAGAAGTTAAACAACATCCGTTTTTCCAAAGCGTGAATTGGGCACTAATTCGTTGTACAACTCCACCCCAGGTGCCAAAGCACTACATATTGGAGACTCCTGACACACCGAAAGAACCGTTAAACGGGAAGATGCCGGGCGTTGATTTGAAGCCTTCGGGTAATTATTTAGAGATTGATTTCTTTTGATTCTTAACCTTTTGTTTTCCTCTGATGAAAAACAAGTGTCCTACTGCTTCATGTGGTTGCTACATGTACACAATGGTTCCTTTCCATTGCAAGCATTACAATCTGGTAGTTCCTGAGATTTGAGGAAATGCAATTGCATTGAAAATTTTGAGGATGTATACTTGATGTTTATGAATCCCTACTTCGAATAACCTGTTTATTTATCGTTCGCCTTTCGCCCTACATATTGCTCGGAACAGTCAAATATTCAGGAATCTCTGGATTTGCACTTATTTTCTAACTCTCCGAAGCATTTCATCGCTTACTATACCCTTTCTCGTCTCTGGGTGCCTAGGTATGCACCGTAAAGCCTCTATAGGTCAGGCGAACAAGATCTTTTTCAATTAGGGTTGTAATTTGACACTGCCAAGTACAAATTATTTCCTTACTCTCAACATAAATAATTGAAAGACCAACATAAACAACACAAAAATGTATGAACTGAAATGAATTTTACACACCTCTTTCTTTTCCTTACTCTCAACATAAATATTTAAATGCCGTCCCCACCCTACACGTCTTTATTTTTTGTTGGAAAAACGATAGTTTTTTCGTTTTTTCAACTGAAAATGGCTCATTTCAAACTCAAAAACAAAAAGCTTCATCTTAAAAATGAATCGTTGTTTGAAATCTGCACTCCTTCATATTAAATTGTAGGGGTGTGCTATTCAAACATTTTTTTACGTTCCTGTTTGGGCCCAAAATATTATGATTGGGCCGAGCAGCAAGATGTGCTCGGCCCAAGGTAATGACACATGCTATGGGCCGAATAATGAAACCCGGACCAGCTGGCAGGATCGGCCAGATCCTATCTTAAGAAGTCCAGATAAATGAGGAAAGGTCGAGGAAATCCTGGTGCAACCAGGATTCTCGACCGGCAAGGGATAAAGCCTCAAAAGGAGGAGAATTCAGAATCCCAGTAGGACTAGGGTTGTTCGAGTTAAAGGTGAAATGGGGTAAGGACTCCCAATCCAAATCAGAATGGGATTCAAGGAGCGAGGTGCTATAAATACAAAGAAATTGCGCAATAGAAAGGCCCCTTCAGAATCAGCATACAATTGCCCTGCGCAAAACCTCTCAAATACCTTGAGATTTTTCCTTTTCTTTTCCTGCCGACACACCTTCAGTTTGGATAAACAGCACTGTGGAAGCAACCGGTGAGCACCTTCAGTTTGGATAAACAGCACTGCTGCCGCAGAATCAGCCGACCGAGAAGCACCTTCAGTTTGGATAAACAGCACTGCGTCGAGGTCGACCGATTATCTATCTCAGTCTCGGCCGAGAGAGGTTTTCGAACCTTTATTGGTAGAGGTCATCTTACTAAGCCGTTGCGGCATAGTTGGGTGTTACGTATTGCGTTGCTCGGCGCATTGGAGGCCGAGTGAGTTTATGATTGGATACTCGCAAGTAAGTTTCAGGGTTCGGCATTCCGAGGGCCGAACTACGTTTACCATCAAGACATATATCACATTCGAGTACCTGTGCCTGTATAGTTTGGTCTCAGTTCGGCGTGCTTATACTCTTACGAATATAATCACAGTGGCCGAATCAGGCTTCGACGATTCGTGAACTCCGTAGAATTAGTAGCCTTGTCTTCAGGCTATAGAATCCAGAGACCGAGAGCGTTCCTTCCTCGGTCGCAATCGCAAGATACAGAAGTCAACAGCGCGCTCAACGCGACCACATCAAATTTTACTCCTCGGCCGGGCTCGGCCGACGAGTTGGCACGCCCCGCATTCAACCGAAGGACGTAGTTAGCTCATTAGTTACTCGGCCTGCGCGCCACGTAGGTTTTGTAAATTTTAGAGTCAACATTTTGGCACGCCCAGTGGGACCATTGTGCTAAACCTTCGGAGTTCATGACCGTAGAGACACGGTCTACCAAGAAGAAAACAAACATGGGAAAGTCAACAGCTGACTTACCAGTGCAAGGCCTTGGGCAGGATTCACACCCAGCAAAAAATCCGGTCATTGCTTTGCCACCTGAGGCTACAAGTGTAACACGCCGAGAGAATGAGATCTGTCTCGGCGGGCAACCTCACAACGCGGCAATCCCGAATCAAACGACGCCCATATTTGTGGAGGGGATAGTGGAAGACTGCGACGACGATGGTGGAGAAGGCTCTGATCCACCAACTAGGTCGTTTCTTCGGAGACGACTTGATGAGCAGTATCGTCAGGTCGAGCAGTCGATTGGTCAAAAGATGAATGATTTGCTAAAAGCAATACGAAGTAACAACGATACACAGACCAGAATGCTTGAAATATTAGTTAGTAAAGCCTTCGAAGATGGCCAGGTCGGCCAACCTCGGCAGCTCTCGACGAACGTGCCCATACCAGCCGATAGAGCGTCCGCTCGACCGCAGCCAGTCACCTTAGAAAGAGGACCGAGAAATAGATCCGAGGGACCAAGCCAGGGAGAAGAAGCCGCTTCCGTGAACATGACCGAGGTCCAGAGAATGATTGATTCGGCCTTGAAGAAAGGGCCGAAGTTTCCAAAATTCATTCATCCATACCCGGCTTACGTAGAAAGGTTTGAATACCCACGAGGATTTAAGATCCCTGATTTCAGCCTCTTCGCCGGGGAATCGTCTTTGTCCTCATTAGAACATGTGGCTCGGTTCACAGCGCAGTGTGGGGACGTTAATAGCGACTTCTACAAACTACGTTTGTTTAATTTTTCATTAACAGGCTCCGCTTTCGCCTGGTACATTAATCTTCCACCCAATTCTGTACAGAGTTGGGAGGAGTTGGTCGAAAAGTTCCATGAACAATTCTATCGGCCAGGGATGGAGATGTCCGTATCATCCTTGGCCAGGATGGCTCAAGCATCCGACGAATCTCCAATGGAGTACTTAACAAGGTTTAAGTCGGCCAGGAATTGGTGCCGAGTACCACTCCCCGAAGTGGAATTCGTCAGGATTGCTCTCAACGGATTAGACGTGGAATACAAGAAGAAGTTCCTGGGGGCAAACATTCGCGATATGTACGAACTTGCTCAACATGTCGAACAGTATGATTACCTGCTCCGAGAAGAGAAGGTCTCAAAGTCACCATCCCGGGGAACGTTGTATAAGAACCCCACGGTCAGCTATGCATCGGCCGAAAGCGGGGACCCTCAGTACGTCAGTGTGGATGCGGCCGAGATAGTAATAGATAAACCATACGTCTGCAAGGCTCTGGCTCAAGTACACGGCAAAGACACCAAAGCCCATTCGGCCGCCAAGGACATAAGTAAATCTTCAAAAGTATACACTTTCGACATCACCAAGGCCGATGCAATTTTCGATCAATTATTGGCGGCAAAGATCATCAAGCTTCGGCCGGGACATATTATCCCTAAGGCCGATGATTTGAAAGGAAAGATATACTGCAAGTACCATAATTCTAATAAGCATGCAACAAATAATTGTGTCGTGTTCCGGGATACAATCCAAAGTTGGATCGAGAAAGGAAAGTTGAAATTTCCGGAAAAGCAGATGGCGGTCGACGTCAATCCCTTCCCTTCAACAACAATTGGTATGGTGGATGCTCATCTTCCTAAAAACAAAGGGAAGGCCGAATACATCCCGGTGCAGCATATCCGTAAACAGAATGGTCGAACAAGGCTAAAGCTTGATATATTTTCGAATGCACCACCCACGGAACAATCGAGGCCCCTCGCCGATGAGTTTATGACGGGGTCGAGTTCAGACGAAACTCATGGATCAAAGGTTTTATGTGACCATTGTAAAACACCGGTTGAACCTGGGAAGAAGACATTTTCAACACCACCCACGGCCCCGACCACATCACCAAAGGAAGTTGGTCCGCGACGTCAAGTGTTCGATCGACTCGGTCCACAAGTACGGCCGACAGACCAGGCCTCAGTCAGGCGGCGTCTTGACTTCGACGCGCCTTTCTATAATGAGGATTACTACTCGCACAATACCCACAGTTCCAGCTCGTCAGCCGATCGCAGAACCTTCAAACCACCCAGAACATCGGATCAACGCTGGTACAGTTACAACTCCCCGACTGGTTTATATACAGCGCTGTCTAAGTCCCAAAAGCGTCGCCGTCAACGGATTGATTGCATGGCTCGGCGACTAGAAGCGCAGGCCAGCACTGCCAACCAGTGGCAACCAAAGAAGGCCACGGAAAGCATAAGTGAAAGGCCAACCCCGACTATCATGACCGAGTTAGCCGAAGGGAAGAAAGTAGCAGCTGCCGGTTTCGAGACCACCATTGAGGATGCTGAGAAACGTATCAAAATCCTTCTCCGGCCTGGGGAAACTAGAGCTCGGCTAGAACACTTCACGCAAGAGGCCGAAAGGGAACTCTCCCCGTTACCACCGCGCGAACCGTTTATCAAAGTACGGCGCAACTTACATCCCCCATTCCTCGGCGAATCTTTGGAATACATGCGAGAGTTCCATAAGAAATACTCCGCCAATGACTTGTACGGACTGCCCAAGGCGTGTCAGGAAGCCCTTGACCTAGCTCTCACTTGCCCCGATGCCGAGCAAATCATTCAGAAAACCTCCGACCCAGCAATTAAGGCAAGGTTCCAACATATACGGGAAGCTCGGGTACTTGGTTTTGATGTTGATCCTTATACAGATATCGACACCGCCGAATTACCTTTCTCGCTCGATGACCTTCAGCATTTGCGTTATCATTTCGAAGTTTTCTCGGCGGTATCACTCTTCGGCCTCACGGCCGACGAAGAAAAACGGATAGCACGGTTGGATACCTATCTCGACACGAGGAACGCCCGTATTGCCTATGAAGAACGAGCCCGTATAACAAAGGACCAACATAAATCTTCGACAGTCAACATGGTCGAGGAAAATAGCCACACCACACTCGACTTGGTTCCCACGTCGCGGATACCGGCTCTTACCAAGACACTCAAAAGTTTGATCGAGGATGTTCCGCCGGCTGAAACTGTGGCTAGTTCGGCAGAAGACGACGACCACGATCCAATGGGCCCTTCGGTCCTCGAACAAATGGAAATCAGCATGGTCCACGTGTTACCAGCTGAATTCCAACCCAGTACCTACCAATCAAATTTCTTGGACGGAGATGTAGTCGCTGAAGAAGCAACACAAGTCGATTTCGTCGCAAACGACGACGACAGAGAAACTCGAAGCACGGACAACCTTAAGGCAGCTTTGGCCGAGCTATTTCCTCGCTCCCCT